TAAACTAATACTCAAACACAAAATCTCTAATTTCTTCTGACAGTGCACCCTCAGCCTTGCACATTCCCTCTCTCCCCTCCAGTCTTCATGCCCTTCACAGTCATGCTGTCTACTCTTTGGTTCAGATGAAGTTTTGTCGTGAAAGCTATTTTTTAAATAGATTTTTATGTCTTGCTTAGGTGACTTTATAGCTAAATTTATCGTAATCTTTCTTTTTCTGTATACTTCGTTTGATTATATTCTCAACCCCCCCAATCACAATTAAATATGATTACTAGTTTTCTTTCCTTCTTGTAACTGCATTTTTTTAGTTTAGTCTTTGTATATACTTATAAAAGATTTTTCTTTTCTCAGTATGCCTGAAAGAAATACGCTACTCCATTTACTCTGACCATGTAGTACCACTATTCGGTTTGTCCTACTTTCATTGACCTTTTTTATCCAAAGAGAAGAGTGTAGGTCAGAGACTGAGGTTAGTGACTAAAAAACTGATCACTTGCTGTAGTAACAAGTAGAATTAACTTTCCTATTGAGTTCACAGTAGGCTGCCAGTGCAAAGCAAGATATTCAGTGTGATTAGAATCCTCAGCTACACTCTGAAAATACAAGGTGCACCTGCTGTGTGAAGTCCAGGTTCATTTCCGCAGACATTTGCTTGTTATACATTGTTTGGTCAGATGAATATAATTTGTAAGTAATCTGTGTTTGTCATCCCATTAAACTATTTAGTAATCATTCATGTCCAAATGATAGAATGGGTTTTACCTTTCATTTTGATTTTTATTTTAGAGGAAATTTTAAAAACAATGAAGACAAAAGGTCTGCGAGGGACCACTGCACTTTCTAGGCAAGCAGGCCAAGAAGTCCTTTCAGTTCTGAAGTTCACCAAGTCCTAACAGACAGTGCGTTCTGAGCGCCCCTGGAAACAGTACATTCAGCACGTTTTTGGAACTGAAGTCATTCCTTGTTAGTCAAGGAATGACATTTGAGTCATTTCAAATTTCTCAAAAGAAATTTAGAAGAAGAAGATGGAAAGGTGGGGTATTTCCTTTCACCCAGGAATCAGGCCTACAGAGTTATTTGCACAAGTACAAGCAAATATGTGTATGATATTTATATTTTATATATAAAAGGTACATATGAAAGGATGTTTATTTCAGCATTGTTTGTAATTGCAAAACAACAGAATCAACTTAACTATCCACCAGTAAGGAGATTGGTTAAATAAATTGCAGCACGTTCATTTGACTGAACTCACAGCCATTGAACATGAGTCAGTCTGTATACACTGTACCAGAAGGGGGTCCATGAGTGAAGAGATGAAGTTGCAGAATGATACTTTGCTATATGCATATTTTTAAAAAAAACAACAGTGAAAGATGTTTGCGTATATAAGTGCGTCTTGGAATTAATAGAAAATGGGAATGGAGGCGCTTTAGTGGTGGCCTTTGATTTGCACAGTGATAATGTTGGAGAATGACAGTGGATTTTCATAAGCTTAACCAGGTGGTGACTCCACTTGGAACTCCTATACCAGATGGGGTTTCATTACTGAGCAAATTAACACATCCCCTGGTGACTATTTTGCAGCTATCCGTCTGGCAAATGTGTTTTTCTCTATACCTATCCTATCCTAATCCCCAACAGAAGCAGTTTCCTACTAAAGTTTAGTCAGATTTATTTCCTGCCCTCTGACATGTTTTGCAGGTAAGTCTAGAATAGTTGCTACTTTGACTTCATTTAGTCCAGTCAGCAAAATGTCATCAATGTAAGAAGTCAGTATGATCTCATGAAGGGAAAGGTGATCAGAATCCCTGCAAACTAAATTAGGACATGGAGCTGGAGAGCTGATACACCACTGAGGCAGATGATAGCATCCCTAGAGTTCATCATTCAGTAGGTCTGGGGTGGCACCAGAGAATGTGCATTTCCAACAAGTTCACAGGTTTGATAAATGGTAGTCCACAAAGATATCAGGGCCTAATCCCTAGAATCTGTACATGTTGTTTTACATGACAAAAAGTGACTATTATAAATCAAAAGATGTTATTGGAGATTTTGAAATGGGGAGATTATCCTGGGTTATCTTTGTGGACCTTACATGCAGTCATTTACATCCTTTAAGAAGGAGGCAGAAGATGATGGGATTGATCATGGAGATAGTGATTGGAGTGACGTGATTAAGAAGTGTCAGCAGCCAGCTGGAGAGGAAAGGAACAGGTTGTCTCCTAGAGCTTCAGGAGGAGGTGTGGCTCTGCTGACATGGTAATGTTGGTCCAGTGGAATTTATTTCAAACTTTGGGGGAGAATCTATTTCTGTTCCTTGAAGGCACCACATTTGTGATAATTTGCTGTAGCAGCCACAGGAAACTAATATACCATGTGATGATAATGATGTTGGTCTTCCAGAAATAAAGTTTACCAAAAGTAATAAGAATAAAAATCCTAGGTAATTATATGTTCATTATGAACCCCCCCTAAAAAAGTAAAACATTTTTTGGTACACATGATATCACAAGTTGAGTTTTGCAGCATTTTCAAAAACAGATTTCAGTTTTATACAGTCTTCCAGAGAATCAAAAAGATTGCCCAGTCCCTATCTTAATGAGAATAAGATAATAGTCAACCCCAGAATCTTCAGACAGAGCTTAGCAATTTAAAAGGTTCTAGTTGTTCAGGTTATAATCCTGAGTGGTTATAGGGAGGGAGAAAAAAGGAAGAACTCTCAAAGTCCATGATGTTATTCAGGAACCCAGAATCTTTCCATCTTGTGATACCCCATCTTCAACATAGACTTCTGAGGATGGAATTGACACATTGGAAATTTCTAAGGGCTGGGTCTATACTTGGCTTCCATCTGCATTGGTTTCATTGGCCAGAACTCTTGACATGTGGTCCCAACATAACTGCAAAGGTCTCCAAAGCAATTCAGCTGTCCCAGAGACCTGAGGGAGTAAAGGATGTTAATGAGTGAGCTGCTTTTGCTTCGGGGAAGGAACTCTCTCACTTGTTCTTCTTGTGATTCAACTCTGCCTTTCAAAATGTTCTGCCTTACCTATTCTTTCCCTTGGCCACATTTGAGATGTTATCTGGTGCCACCATCATATCTAATCTCTAACCTCAGTTACCACGGAGAGGGAAAAAACAGTGGAAGACAGTTAGAGTACCACACATCCCTAACACTAACCCTAGCCCTTCTAGAACTTCGTGGCGACTGAGAGATTTTTGCAGTTGTCCTCTCAATGGTTGTTTTAGGAATATTCAGGATTCGTAGATTTTTTTGTTTTTAGTGTGCTGTGTTTTGGGGTCTTTTTTGGACAATAATTTACATAAAAACATACTAGGCTTCTGATACATTTTCTGCCAGTCCTAAATGCTGGTTCATAACCGGTAACTTATTTTCTCCTAGACACAGTTTTCCGGTCTCTTTTATATATTTGCTTCTTCCTACCAATGCCTTTTTTTTTTAATTAGAAATGGTGGCTCCCAATAAGACTATGTTATCCTTACTATTTGGGATCTAGAAGTTGTCAGATATCTCAATCCTTTAATACCCCACATTTGTAGACTCTATGACTTATTACCCATTATAAGTTGTCTGGTTTTTTCCTATAACACCCTGCTGAGTGCAATCAGTGAAAATCAACATACACTACAAATACTGTTTTCCAACCTGTTCCCCTTAAGTTCAGTTGGTACTTAATACCGTAGATCACAATTTTGCCAGTTGTTTTGCCAATGTGTAAATAACTTCAGTGGTCACCACCTTTCCAGCTTCTGACAGTAGTTTCCTCACTACCCCTCCCCATGACTAAACCAATACCAAGTACTTTAGGGTTTTATCACAGCAGCCTTCCACTTAAGTGTATCAAGTCCTTTATTAATCAAGTCCTTTATTAGTGACACAATAAAGGTTTATTGCTCACTCATAATACAGTCTAATGAGATTTGTCCAGGGGATGGAAAGTATTCTATTCCATTCATTCAGATACTCAGGATCCTTCTATTTTGTGCCACCATCACATTTACCCTGTAATCTGTCAGCATGGAGAGGGAATGAAAGGGATAGCATGCATGGGAGGTTTTTATGAGCCAGTCCTGAAAGGGCGTAAGTCCCGTCACATTCCAGTGGCTGGAACTCAGTCAGATGGTGCCAATATACTTGAGCTGTATGCCCAAGAAAGGAGGTAATTCTTGTAATTATTTCCCCAGATAATTGTATTAAACCTTACAACAAAGCCTTAATAACAAAACCAGATAAGGTTTATGTAAGAAAGGAAAATTACAGGCCAATCACATCCACATAGAGGAAAAAAATAATAAAATTTCAACAAACTAGATCTAGCAGTATATATAAAACAGATGATACAGCATAAGCAAGTTGAGTTTACCTAGGAGTGTAACCATGGTTTAATAGAAAAAATCCATAAACTCCATTTATCATTCTAATAGATTAAAGGAAAGAAAAATAATACCTTATCACCTCAACAGATGTGGAAAAACATTTGTTAAAATTGAATATACTTAGCAAACTAAGAAGACAGGGAACTTTCTTAACCTGATATAGTCTGTATACAAAAAACTATGGCAAATATTCTTAAAGTAGAAACACTGAAAGCATTCTCTTTGAAAGTGAGAAACAAAAGACACCACCTATTACCACCCTATTCAGTATCTCCACTGGAAGTCCCAGCCAGCAGATAGGAAAAGAAAAAGAAATGAAAGGGAAGAGGATAGACAAACCCGACATCATTAACAGAAGAAAATTATAAATGTAACTTATAATTGAAATAATCTCAGACAAGAATGATAATCAGACAAGAACAATTATCACCAGTGAATTTTATTTGTGAACAAAGTTGCAAAATTTGAAATTATTTTTAAGTTCACAAATAAGAATAGAACAATGGCCAAATAGGTTTTATCCCCAAAATACAAGGATGATTCAAAATTACAAAACCTATTTATGTAATCCACAACAAGAATAGAAAGGGAGGGGGAAAAAAACCATTGTCAGCTCAATAGATGTAGAAAAAGCATTTGATAAAATTTATCATCCATTCAGGACTTAAAAATATAAGCAAATAGGAACTTCCTAACCAAAACAGCAGCTGTAATCCAAGCCTGGGGTACATCACATTTAGTGACTTAAACTATTCCATTTTAAAATTAATCAAAAGATAAGGATAGAATTGTTTACTCTGAAGTCTTTTCTTTTTTTTGAGACAGAGCCTCAAACGGAGCTCCTAGGTAGAGTGCCATGGCTTCACTGCTCATAGCAACCTCCAACTCCTGGGCTCAAATGAGTCTCCTGCCTCCGCCTCCCAAGTAGCTGGGACCACAGGCGCCCGCCACAACACCCGGCTATTTTTTGGTTGCAGCCATTATTGTTGTTTGGTGAGTCCGGGCTGGATTCGAACCCACCACCTTAGGTGTATGTGGCTGGCGCCTTAGCCACTTGAGCCACAGGCGCTGAGCCTACTCTGAAGTCTTGCCAGCACAGTAAGAGAGGAAAACAAGTAAGATATGAAATGCATAGGCATTGTCTTAAAAGCTAATAATATCAAGCAGACTACGACAATGTTCCTGCTATGTAGGCATGAAAAGGAGTGTGTATTAAGGTAAAGGGGTGTTAAATCAAGGGAAGTGCTTTCTAAAAAGTGTAATTACTTAATTGACAAGGCAAGTATAAATGCTGTAATCTTGAGGATAACCTTAAATAATAAACTAATGTTATAATTAAAATAATAGAAAATGCAAATAATGAAAAAAAATATTCAATAAAAAGACCAAAAAAGAGAGAAAAAACACAAAACAGGACTATCAGAAAGCTAATTTTATAAGTAATTATATTACATAAATGGAATAAACATTACAATTAAAAAAGATTGTCAGACTGGCTAGAAAAGATTGTACATTTACATTAAAGGCTTGCTCAACTCTAGAAATTTATGGTCTTTCAAACTTGCAAATATTGACTAGTATTAAGAAAGACTATAATGTTTACATAACTATCAGATAGTAAGTTGCGATAAATACTGTCAGTTGTCTCCTAAATCTGTTGTCCCTATTTTCCACAGCAATAAAACTCTTGATTTGTAGGTGGGCATATGAAGGTGGGCATAAAATAAAGATTTTATTTGCCAGCTCCTCTTGCAGCTAGGTGTGGACACAAGAATAAATTCTTTCCAATGTGTGTGACTTCTGAGGAATGTCCTTAAAGTAAGGAAGCATGCTCTTTTCATCTTTCATGTGTGCTAGATTTAACATGCAAAAGATGGCTGGTGCTTGAACACTTGGACCATAAATGGAACTCATCCATTCTGAATAGTAGAGCAATAAGATAGAAAACAGCCTCAGTCCTTGCTTATAAAGTTATCATAAAATAGTCCTGAACTGCTTACATCTAGACTTCATTTACAAAAGAGAGAAATAAAATTCTTTCTTATTTAAATCACATTTACTTTGGATTTTTGGGGGGTGGGGGTGGGGGGAAGAGTTACTCAAAGTCAGAACTAATTCCAATACTGAATTCTAAGAAGTAGAAATAGCCCAAATACCCATCAGATGATTAATGGAAGCAAACTGTAGCAAATACTGAATATGCAATGGAATACACATATTATTTAGTAATAGAAAGAAATGGAAGTACTGATATGTATATAAACCTCAAAAGCATTATGCAGACACAAAAGTTCACATTTCATGATTCAAAAATTCACTGCTTCAGCTTGGCGCCCATAGCTCAGTGGGTAGGGTGCCAGCCACGTACACCAAGGCTGGTGGGTTCGAACCCAGCCTGGGCCAGCTAAAAATAACAATGACAACTGCAACAAAAAAATAGCTGGATGTTGTGGCAGGTGCCTGTAGTCCCAGCTACTAGGAAGGCAAGAGAATCGCTTAAGCCCAAGAGTTGGAGGTGGTTGTTGTGAGCTGTGATGACACAGTACTCTACCGAGGGCGACAGCTTAAGACTCTCAAAAAAGAAAAAAATTCATTGCCTCAGTTGAAGTATTTTCAGATCTTGTACTAAGTTCACCTTTAAATCAGACTGTATCACCCACAGCCATCATCACAAAGATGAAAGACTGAAAGTTTCCCCCCAATCATAAAAAAAAGATGTCTACTCTCATCATTTCTATTCAATGCTGGAGGTTCTAGGCAAAGCAATTAGAGATTTAAAAAAAAGAGAGACGGAGAAAAAGGAAAGGAAAAAGAGAGAAGAAGGAAGAAAGGAAAGGTATCTATAATGGAAAAGAAGTGAAACTATCTCTACTTGCAGATGACATTCTCTGGTATGTAGAAAATCCTAAGCAGCCCATTAAGAAACCATTACAATTGCTGGGCATGGTGGTTGATGATGTAGTCTCAGCACCTGTGGGAGGCTGAGATAAGAGGATTTCAGAGTTCAAGACCATCCTGCTAACAGGGTGAGACCCCATCTCTACAGTAAAGTTTTTAAAAACTTGGCCATGCATTGTAGTGCATGCCTGTAATCCCAGCTACTTGGGAAGCTCAGGCAGGACTGCTTCACATCCACCTAGGAGTTGAAGGCTACAGAGAGCTATGATGGTGCCATCGCACTCCAGCTTGGGTGACAAAGACTCTGTCTCTAAAAACTAATAAATGAGTTTAGCACAGTTGTAGAGTACAAGATTAATGTGCAAAAATAAATACAGTGATACCACATAAAGGATATTACTTTCTCCTCATCTTACCATTTACTAGTGAATCTTTTGAAATTGAGAGACTCTACTACCATTAGCTGATGAAGGCAAAACCTATGCTATGATTCTGCAATTCTAGAAGTGTCCATGCCTAGAACAGGCATTCTGAACACTCTCCTACCAAATTCTCACAATACTGCTTGTTAATGGGTCTTAAACAATGAAAAGAACAATGCCAACTGACTATGCAATAACTACACCAGACTCTTCAAGAATCCAGTACCTTACCAAAAGCTCAAAGTGGCCAAAATTGTGGTCTTTATTGGACATGTCAAAACTGTGAATAACTTACAGCCGGTACATTTTTTAAATAGCATATGAATTTGGAATGTGATGTAAAGAAAGTGATCTCTGAATCTCCTCGGGTTCCTCTATAAAATCTGCAAACTAAGTATACAAATTATTTAATGCCTCAACGCGACCAAAAAGGTTCTTGTCCTTAAAAAGAAATCCAAAGGCCGGGTGAGGTGGCTCATGCCTGTAATCCTAGCACTCTGGGAGGCTGAGGCAGGTGGATAGCTTGAGCTCATGAGTTCAAGAGCAGCCTAAGCAAAAGCTAGACCCTGTCTCCACTAAAAATAGAAAAAAAAAAAAAAACCCAAAAAACCTGAGGCAAGAGGATTGCTTGAGCCCAACAGTTAGAGGTTATTGTGAGCTGCGACACCATGGCACTCTACTCAGGGTAACAGCTTGAGACTCTATCTCAAAAATAAATAAATAAATAAATAAATAGAAATCCACAGTTAAAAAAAAAAAAGACATTATCAACGATATTAGAAATAAAAGACCTCCATGGTAAACACTCCGCCCTAACAAAAGTTGTTTGTAAAAAATTTATAAAATAGAAACCTATGGAGAGATTAAAGGATTCCACCACAAACAAATTTTTTGCCTCCAATTTTGAAAAAAAAAATTTTAGAATAATTGAGTTGTAAGATCTTGAGGCAAAGTCATAAAAGCTACCTGGTCGTACCAGATAAAGCCTAAGATGGACGCTTGTCAAATTCTTCCTGAGAAAATCCATCACAGTGAGAACAAATTGCCATGATATTAAACAAACAGGGGAAGAGGAGGTTCTTGGGTAGAAGATATGGCTATCCAAGGATGTAAAGAAGTTGTTTTGACAAAAAAAGATTAAAGGACTACCCTTCAAGATTAATTTTAAATCTTCAAAGAAAAAAACACGTAGAATTAGCAAAGATAAAATAGATTAATGGAACAGAACAGAGCCCAGAAACCAAGTAGATTGTTAAGTAACACGTCTAAGAGATGAGGTACTACAAACTCAATGGGGGAATGAGTATATTATTTAATAAAAATTATGTGAAAGTGGTTATCAGCGTAGATAAGCATAATAAGAATTCTAACTTACAACGGTCATAAAAATTAATTCCAGATGAATTAGACACATTTTGAAATTTAAAACTTAGAATAAAATATAATAAAATTTTTTTAAACCTCAGAAAGTAACAAATTTTTAAAACCTAACATAAAAAAGCTTCTATCTTAAAAGGAAAAAAAATGATTAATTTGATTAAATTTAACTGAAAAATTCAGTAAAATTAAAGGTAATCACAGACCTTGTTAAAGACAAACCACAAATCAGAAGTCCTATAACAGATTAAAGTGCTATAATCAATAAGAACACAAAAAGTCCAGTAAAAAAAATATTTAAAAAAATTTTTGTCAATTAATTTACAAAATAATGTCGAAAAATATATAAAACAAAGCTAAGATTCTTAGAGAAATATAAGTTAAAACAAAGAGCTAACATCTCATAGCTCTCAACCTGGAAAACTTAAAAATTCTAATAAGATTAATGTTGGTGACAAGGTAGGAAAACCAGGCCCAGCGCCTGTGGCTCAAGTGGCTAAGGCACCAGCCACATACACCTAAGGTGGTGGGTTCAAATCCAGCCCAGGCCACCAAACAACAATGATGGCTGCAACAACAACAAAAAAATAGCCAGGCATTGTGGCAGGCGCCTGTGGTCCCAGCTACTTGGGAGGCGGAGGCAGGAGACTCGTTTGAGCCCAGGAGTTGGAGGTTGCTGTGAGCTGTGATGCCAAGGCACTCTACACCCAGGGGGACAGTTTAAGGCTCTGTCTCCAAAAAAAAAAGGTAGGAAAACCAGAATTCTCTTGTATTGCTGCTGGGAGCACAAACTTGCATATCACAATAGAAGGCAATTTGATAAACTCTAAAGCCATAGTATGTATGTATCCTACTATCTGAATTTCCATTTTTAGGCATATGTCCACATCTGCATTAGGTGACATGTTCAAGAATCTATGCTTGGTTCAGCACCTGTAGCTCAAGCAGCTAAGGTGGCAGCCACATACACCAGAGCTGACAGGTTTGAATCCAGCCCAGGCCTGTCAAACAACAATGATAACTGCAACCAAAAAAATAGCCAGGCGTTGTGGCGGGCACCTGTAGTCCCAGCTACTTGGGAGGCTGAGGCAAGAGAATCACTTAAGCCCAGGAGTTGGAGGTTGCTGTGAACTGTGATGCCACAACACTTGTCCAGGGCGACAGTTTGAGGCTCTGTCTCAAAAAAAAAAAAAAAAAAAAAGAATGTACACTTTGTAGAGCTATTCAAAATGGCAAAAAAAATAATAATTGAAACAACTGTTACTGGGGGAAATGCTAAGTAAACAATAAGATACTGAACAGTATACTGTCTTAAGTGAAAAAGCAAGTTAAAAAAGATTACATTCATTAAGATATCGTGAATATAAATTTTTTTTCTTTTTTTTGCAGTTTTTGGCCAGGGGTGGGTTTGAACCCACCACCTCCAGCATATGGGGCCAGTGCCCTACTCCTTTGAGTCACAGGTGCCACCCAGTAAATATAAATTTTTTTTAAAATTGCTACATATTGTTTATGGATACAAACACATGGAAAAATAAAAAATCTGAAATAGTTAGGCATCACACCAATTTCAGAATAACGGGTTAGCTCTAAGAAGGGAAGGAGAATGGCGCCAGGGAGGAGTACACAAGAGCATCATTTTATTTCTTTAAAAACTAGAAGCAAATATGGCAAAATAGTATGTGAAGAATACAAGGGCATTGATATTATTATTTTTCTCTATATTTGAAATATTTTGTAATTTATAAGAATTTCAATGGGCATATGTGGTATAACAAATAATAACATTAATTATTCATACCACGAAAATGTATCAGGTAATAACATATTAAAGCCACAGAACTTATGTACATACATTAGAGCATGTGATAAAAAGTCAAAAATAAATTTAAAAATTTGCAGTCTACTTTGGGGGTCTTAAATTAATAATTTTGCTAATGGGCTTTGAATTTCATGCGACTTTTAAATGTTCTTATGCTTATATTTTAATAGCTGCTTTTTATTATTGTTGTCAAAGCTATATAAATAAAACTTTAAAGTAGCATTCTGAATTTCAGTCTTATTTTGGAAAGCTTTTTTTTTTTTAGCATTATAAACAATAACAAGCTTTACAATTATACTTACAAATCGTAAAGAAGTGTATTGAATCCTAAGTATGAAGAGTAATTAATTATAACTACATAATTATAGTGTTTTGCCAAGAACTGGATGCCTTAATACTAATGTGGAAAAACAATACTCCAATATTCCCTTTTCTTTTTTTCTACATGGGGTCTGGGTCAGAAGCCAAGAAGTACCAATACTGGAAAGGTTATAAACACAGTCTTATTATAAAACCATTTTTAAAGGAAAAGTGTGTAGTTTCCATTGGGGAGTAACACAATCCTTTTAGATTACTATGTCAGAGTGAGACACAGATAAGAGAACATTTCAAGAAAGGGGATTAATAAGAGGTAGTAAAATTTTGCTATCTGTACCTATTCTTTATGCCTCAAGGTAATAATAAATACTACACAGAAAAATTAAAGAGATAAACAAAACTGGATAGGGCAATGCATCTACAAATACAACTCGAGATCTGTAACTCATATATAATACTTCACTCTCAACTACAATCCTCTGACCACGTTCATACTAGTGCAATAATAGTCATTTTACTCAGTTGATGGTAAGCATAATTTTATTTGACATGAGTTGCTTTTTACCAGTTAAACATGTGCAACACAGATGACTGGCTGACCTCTCAGGTAACCTTGCTATTAGATATGTTATTTCCCATGTAATGGAAGACTGTAATAAAATTATTCTAATTTCTAAGTTTCCAAACTTTTATATTTTTGACCCAATTTTTAAGGGTAATAGTGTCATGGCAAAAAGGCAGGCTTTTACTTACTCCACCACTTCAGCTTGTTATACTAAATTATACCTAGTGTTAAAATCCTTAACCTTCACTTCTGAGGGCTGTAAAAAGTTTGCTCCCCCAAATCCCTTATTTAGCGAAACTATGCCTGGTAAGAACAGCAAAAATTTGCTTACAAAATTGAAAGCTTCCTAGAATATTTTTAAATGTTTTGTTTTTTTCACCAGTCTTTAAGTTTCAAAATATTTATTCATGTATTTCTTCCCTCTCAATAGAGAAATAACTATCCTTCTGCTTCACAAATGAAAGGATTGAATTATTATTTTTTGAAATTCTCACCCTCTGGGGACTCAAACTGAATAATAAATTCACTGACAAGTTTACAATGTAAATTTCACCAATCCACGGAAATAATTCTTCCACAAGCAAAAGGTCATTGTCATCAATTTAATTTTCTGAATTTCATAACCCTTGATAAACGGAAGTACCTTCAAGTTCAGTTTCCACTCTTTTATGTAGGATTTCAGAGCATGCTTTAAGTAGCTTAAGATAAGCCATATTAATAACTTAGTATCATTTTATCATTAAAATAATCTATAATCAGAATACTACTAATTTTATTGTCATAACTAATAAATAAAGTTTTAAAATATCTGTAGATGTAAATCAGCTCCCTCGATTCACTTTGCTTCCCTTGGGCTGTTCTAGAACACAGATCAACAAACTGAATGGGTTTAATATTATTATATATTTGCACAATGTTTTCACAAATTCCAATTCTGTAATTTAGGGGTTTTTCATATTTATTCTTTAATATACAAAGAGATTAAACCATTAATATAAATATTTTCTCTCAAGTACGTAATATTCTTTTGTAAAAGAAAAGGTTTCTAAACATTTACAAAGCAATCTAAAGATAAGCAAACCTGATTTCAGGATTATTATATTAACCAAAATAATTTTCCAGAGAAGGTCCTATCTGAAAGTAATGTTCACTGGCTTCCACACATCAGCACTTTATGATGGATCCGAATCCAAGGCCTCTGCTTGATTTCCTTCAGGGATCACCACTTCCAGTGGGGGAACTCAGAAAAAGGTCTCCCGACAGAGTGGACAAGTGGATTTGTTGCTAGATGTAAACCATTTGTACTAAAAAAGAAAAGGTTTGAAATGTTAAAGGAATTTTTTAAAGCTGTCACCTTAAACACACACACATCTAAAGATGAAAAGAGAAGAACACTAAAATTTTTAATATTACTCGCAAAGGCTCCACTAAGATTCTTTCTCCTCATATCTCATGCACACGCCACTGAGATATGAGGAAGATCTCCCGCAAAGCAACTAAACACAGACGGCCTCCTTTCCAATGTGATGTTTAAAAAGGGCAAAAGGCTCGGATGTCAGATGCCTCCAATTCCAATCCTTATAGTTTCCTCAATGGTCTGGATATCACAAGATTACCTGTTTCGTGAGCACTAACAGCTATATTAGAAACACTGCTTTATTAAAGTACTTGGATACTACCATAGACTCAGTAAATTAGGAATTATCTTTTATAGATTTTGAAAAATTACTTTTTAATGTTTCCCATTAACTACAATTAAGAGTTTAATATACATTGTTTTTCCTCCAAAGTTAAGGTAAGTTTAATTAATTCTCCTTAGACTTACCAAGCAGGCTGAATGGAACTTTTTCTTGCATGTTCTACAGGCTTTTTTGGGAAGAGAATAGTTGAAACCATGAATGACTGAGAAACAGATCATACAATCTTCAACACCCTCAAAACGTTTGTCTACATTATTTTTCCACAATGCTAAGCCTTCCATTATACTTCCATTCTGTCAACAAGAAGAAAAGTAAGCGGCATTATATGTTGAAGACCACCAATACTATTTTTATTCAATTTCACAAATTAAAAAGTTGAATTATAAGAATTCAAATTATAAGAAAGAAAAGAAACTGCTTGACTACACACACATTGTACATATAGAATTGTTTACAAATGTTGTAAACATTTATAAAATCTCTCAAATTTAACCATTTAACCTGTCAAATTTTAAAAACCAGCTATAATTTTGTTAGTTTATAACATTTATAAAACCTCTCAAATTTAAAAAACCAGCTTGTAATTCAAGATAAACTTTGAAGGCTTTTGAAGCAATACTCCAATTCTTACAGCCTCAGTTTATTATATGATAAAACTCTTTTAATAATTACATCATTTAGATCTGTTCTCCTAATCTTTAACTGAAAATGATACAATCATCTCACCTTCCCAACTGTTTTTTTTCTAATTCTACAAGATTGGTGAACACAATTTCTTTTAAAATCATTTCCTTGTAATACTCATAGTGTGCAAAGAGGACTGAAGAAGATTTATAATTTGATTAAAGGTCAAAAGTCTTTGAGAATAGTGGTATTTCTCTAACCAAAGGAGAGCTGAAATCTAGGAATAAAAGTAGCTCAGGAAGAATGCATTGTCTGAATGTATCTTTCAAAAGATTTCCTTCACACGAGTTTTTTACTATCACATGTAAAAATGTACCAATGCAAAGTCACTCCTTTTCAAACACTAGAAAGCAAATTATGAGCCTTCAAAATTAAAACAGAGATGAGAGTTTCAAGCCCTTTATCCATGGAAAATTAATATCTATTTGTATCTTAGGCAGAAGAGCTCTATTTGTGTTTAACTGTCACCTCTTTCCCGTCTGGAGGGCCCCAGGGCCGAGCAGACACTCACCTGATGGGTGAGGTAGGTGCTCAGCTGCAGCATCCAGTTCCGCCACTGCTGAACAGCCACGCCAACTCTCTTCCCACTTTCCACCGTTATTGAACCCAGCGGGTAATTTGAAGGCAACTGTATAATAAGTTCAATGACTATGTCCTCAATAGTATAAGTAGCCATTACTTCTCGAGTAGTAGCTCGAGCTTTAACCTGAAACACAATAAAGGTAACTTTTTCTGCCAAATTCCTTTCATTCATCCAAAAAACATTTTGACAGGTTGACTACTAGCAGCTAAAGTCTTTGTTCACAAAAAATGCACATAAACACATTTATTTATCTGACATGAGATATTCAATAAATGGGTTTAAATAAAATCTGGCATTTCTTATAGGGATTTTGTGATATACAAAGTTTGTTTTTTTAAAAATGCATTGTTCATAAATAATTGTGTTTTATTAAATTAGACTTACAACATAATAAATAGTTCTTGAGTAGATAAATGACAAAATGGGTTATTAATTATCTCTTCTCTTCCACACCCAGAGAATCAAATATCACTTCTATGTCATCCGCAGCTTTGTCTACCACATTATTCTGAGTTTTTAGAGCTAACCAGGAACTTCCACAACATTTATACCTGATTTTTTTTTCATACTAACACTACAAACTCAACATAAAACACACATTATCATCCTTTAAAAACTTGCTCTTGGCCATAGCATCATCTGAAATTTCTCCTTCTACCCCAATTTAGATATTAACCAAGTGCAAGTTAGCTAAATCACCTCCTCTTCTACATTCCCACTGATACTATCTCACGCAGACCTATTACTTTGCTCATAATGTCTACCCCACTCTTCTCCCCAACTACTCACTGGAATCCCAGTTCTATGCCAACAACCCATGCTATATATTGCAGTCAGAGCAATTTCACAGATTGTAACTCTATGTTACTAGCTGAGTGGAAAATCTTCAAACGTTGAACAGAATCAAATATTTTAGACTGTTAATCTGAGGCCTTTCCCAACATAGCTTTAACCCATGGTTGAAGCAGTCTGCTCTCTACTTCCCTTTGGGACCTCTGCTCTATATGAATACTGGGTTATTCACCGTGACTTGGGCAATCACAGAAATGACATTCTCATCCCCATCCTTTTAGCTTTTGCTCTACTGTTTTCTCTGTTAAATTCTTTTCTCTTCGTTTTCCCTGTAACAAATTCCTGCTCACCTCAAATTAATCTTCCTCTATAAAGTCTCATCTAATTCCCTCAGCCAGATGAACCTTTTCCACTCGGATCACAGAGCATACTTTTTCTTATTGTGCAAAAATTCTTATCAGTATCACTCTCTTCCCTTTATTAGATTGTATGTTATTACAGGACAGGATCCCAACCCTACTAAACTGTTCATTTTTCAGGTGATTGAGACACACTGCTTGGCATGTATAAAGTATTCCAATATGTATTTTCAATGAACTAATGAATACTCAAAAACTTTTTGGTGGGCAAATGAAATCATACTACCATTTCAATCCACAGATAAAATAATGTTGGGATTTTAAACATAAGAATCAGAAAATAAGGCACACAATTTCTATAAATTATGAATCAAGGCTCCCAGTTTTTTTTTGTTTGTTTGTTTGTTTGTTTTTTAAGAGACAAAGTCTCACTTTGTCACCCTTGGTAGAGTGCTATGGCGTCACAGCTCACAGCAACCTCCAGCTCCTGAGCCTAGGCAATTCTCTTGCCCCAGCCCCCTAAGTAGCTGGGACTACAGGCACCCGCCACAACACCTGGCTATTTGTTGTTGCAGCTTGGCCGGGGTGGGGTTCGAACCCGCCAACCTCAGTATATGGGGCTGGCACCCTACTCACTGAGCCACAGGCGCCGCCCCAGGGCTCCCAGTTTTATTACATTCACGGTGACAAGCAATATTCAAACAACTTTTCTAGAAAGTTAAGACAATACTAACCGTCATGCCATTAAACAGTTGTGTACTTGTTTGCACAGAAGATATTTCTTGAAAAGAAAGAACACTGCTGACATACTTGCTTGTAAATCTATCTACAATATTGAAAACACGCTTCTCACTGCTATTCCACCACAACCTAACCATGGCAGGCAAGTCTTTCAATGTCATGTGATAGACTGAACAAGCCAAGTGTGGAATATGGTACGGAAGAGTTGCTGTTTCTGAGAAAAAAACAAATTCTTAAGTTAGTAACATGTATTTCCTACATAGAATAATGGACTATTAGTATTTTCCTTAGAAAATCACCTTTAATTCTTCAGAAATAGTGCTATAGCTCATAATGAAAACATACCAGAGAAACCAGAACTCTGGAGTAATAGCATCCTCCCAGACATTCAAAATGAACAATAAGAACAGCAAAAGAGATTTAAAAAAAAAAGTAAAAATTACAATTGACAATGAAAAATTTACCTAGAAATAGCATTGTATATTTCACATGAAAAAGTAAAAATAAAACATAACACATATTTACAAAAAGATTCTTCACGTTACAAATTATGAAATGAAATTTGGCCTCCTTTACTTTCCCTGAGCTTGCTGAACTTCACAGAAGTCCTAGAACACCCACCTCAATACTCACAAGATGCAATCCATCCTCAGATCAAGACATTTAAAAAGTCCCTATTCTTAGTAAATTGCTTATAATACTACAGTATAGCTAGATGTACATGTCTACTCTCTCAGCTAAAATTTGAACTCACAGAGTGAAGGAAACAAATTTTATGCATCTTTGTTTCCTCAACTGAAGACTACTTATTTACATGCCTACCGGCTGGGGGAAGTAACTCACACCTATAATCCCAGCACTCTTGGGATACCAGGGCTGGTGCATTGCATGAGCTCACAAGTTTAAGACCAGGCTGAGGAAGAGTGAAAAACTGTCTCTACTAAAAATATAAAAACTAGCCCATGGCTCGGCGCCTGTGGCTCAAGTGGCTAAGGTGCCAGCCACATACATCTAAGGTGGTGGGTTCAAATCCAGCCCAGCCCGCCAAACAATGACGGCTGCAACCAAAAAATAGCCGGGCATTGAGGCGGGCACTTGTGGTCCCAGCTAATTGGGAGGTTGAGGCAGGAGACTTGCTTGAGCCCAGGAGTTGGAGGTTGCTGTGAGCTGTAATGCCACAGCACTCTACCCAGGGGGACAGCTTGAGGCTCTGTTTCAAAAAAAAAAAACTAGCTGGGCATTATGGAAGTACCTATAGTCCCAGCTACTCAGGAGGCTGAGGCAAGAGGATCTCTTGAGTCCCAGAATTTGAGATTGCTGTGAGCTATAATGCCACAGCACTCTACCCAGGGTAACAGAGTGAGACTCTGCCTCAAAAAATAAAAATAAAATAAGTGAAATACATACAACAAAATATCATCATATGACAAATACTTGTTTACAGACTAAAAGATAACAGTCTCAACATGCTAAGCTTCAAAAATATACTCAATTCTTCATAACCACATCCATAAAAATCTAATTATCTGTCCTACATAAAGAAATATAAAAACCCTTGTATTTTAACATTCAGAAAACCAGAACTCAGTCTAGTGTTAATCTCCATACCACTAGAGAAGAGTTTAGTACAACCTAGTATGAACCTTGTCTTTAAAAGACAGAACACAAACACTTATCTTCACTGACCTCTAATACTCAGCTGGAGCTCCTCAGTAAAGAATGTTTTAGGGTCCTTATTTGAGACCTCAATAGCTGTCTCTGAATAGGTTGGGTTTTCTGGCATAAGCCTGAACAGGTGATAAAGCAATTTATTCAAACTCTTTGTTTTCCGAAGGTACATTGAATACAGAGCCCGAAGCTGGTGGACAGTAAAAACTTGGTTAGTAAAACCAACTAACCCAAGACAATCAGAAGAAATAAATCAAGGTACAACAGAGTTCCTTTCCTCCTAAACTAGCAGATATTCTCACTATCTCTTCATTATTAGCATTGATTTCTAACATCATTCTCAAATTGTCCCTGTTAATATACTTACCTTAACTTGGCGTCTCTGTATGAGCCAAGAAAATCTATTCACCATTCCCACAGAGGACTTGCTCACCCTCCTCCCAAGTCTTCCACACATTCTTTCCACACCGTACTTCTTAATCTTGCAAATTCCTGCCTATAACAAATCCCATTTTTATGGCTGATCTGCAAATACTCCAGTATCCCTTTGGGATAGACAACATGAACTAGTAGCCCCAAATGTCTTTGGGGTCTTCTCACAGTTGTTTTATCAATCAGGAAATTGCACATAAAAACATGGAATTCTGGTTTCTCTCTTTAAAATAGGAAAATCTGGCACCACTGGAAGCACTATAAGCATGTGTGTGAGACTTGTGCTTTTCAAAGCCTCCTCATCCTTCAGTAATGCAATTTTTTGCATTTTTCACATTTACTTTGTAGTCTTTTGACATATTTAACATGATTTCTTCCACCATACCACGCATCGCCTTCTACACATAGTATAGACACCATTTTCTGAACACTATGAATAATCAAACACAAGAATCAAGCCATAGGATTTGGAATTGATTCTTAAAATACATTGGCCAAAGCACCATTAAAGTAGAGCAATCTGAGGGGGCACTACCTTTACCAAACTAACATCACCAGTATAGGGGGGGATACCAAATCCAAAAATTTAAAATTTTGTGCTCCAAAATATGAAACACTTTGAGCACCAACATGATGCTCTGTAGCAGCAGCCCATATAGCCTATGGCTAGAGGAGTGAGAGTTATAAGAAATACCTGTAATGGAACACCTTGGTGAAAAGGGCATGGAGAGAGATTTGTTTCTAACAAGCATGAGTGAGCTCGCGAGATGAGAGCAGTGGTGAATTGGCAGTCTCTACACCTGTGGTGTTGAGAGGCACGAGCTCAGCCTTATATTAGGCTGGAGAGAAGGCAGTCAGAGGGCATGCGCATTCTATCATGGATCCAGTTACTCTGTCTCCTCTCCTGCCTGCAGAACGCCAGCACGGTGTCTCTCTGCTGAAGATTACCACACTATGCTAAAGACTAAGAGCTATCTGTTCTAAGAAGACCTTTACTCTCTCTAAGATACTCTGTCTCTCTCTCTCTCTCCAGCTAAAGTAGATAGTCCTCAAGCACCTATGAGAAACTGTTCTGAGCAAGGTAGCTTAGTGGTCCGCATCCAGAACCTACCTAAGCTGGGCCCAAGACCTGGCCAGTCCTGGGCCCTGACAAGCGGTGTCAGAAGCGGGATAGTGAATGCCACTGACAAGGGGTGCTTGGAGCAGGATTCAGTGAACATGGACCGAGGGGGAAATAAGTTTTAGCAAAATAAGAAAAAAAGAAAAATAGAAATGCTTAGAGGGAAAAGAAATATCTAGGAAAGACAGCCAACAGCAGGCCTTTCTCATTCGGTTTTTTCCTCTTCTTTCCTGTGTTTTCTCTTTCCAAATTCTAACTACTACTCCTGTGGGAAAAAAGCTGGTAAAATCCTTTAGCCTCTTCTGTGAAGGGGCTGGAGAAAAACAGAAAAAAAGCCTCTACACAAGAGGGAAAGAGAAAGGCTAGACCTGGGAGATAAGAATCTTTAGTAAACAAGCCTTCTGAAAAACAGCAAAGAGAAAAGTTTGGGAACAGGTTCCAAGAGTTTACTAAGTTAGGGAAGAGAACTTCTAACTGCCTTCCCCTAATACCTTCGCCCAATGCCAGCAGGAAGTAGCTTTTGAGAGACCGACGCCCCAATTCCCTGCTTGGCAGTTAAGAGTTCTATTTAAAAAGAAAAGAACTGAAGTAGATTGAGGCTGGTGAAGAAATAGTGGAAGTAAAGTTTTGTAAAACAAGACTCCAGAGTAAAAAAAAACAGTTAAAGAACTCCTGTCTCTTTAAGGCAACTAAAGTTTCTAAGAATTGAAAGGGAAAGATTGTAAAAAGTAAAAGGCCAAAAAAAAGCCAGAGAAAAATCATGGAAAATGAGATACAGTAGTTGAAATACAGTTGAGAGATCAGATGAATCTTATAGTAGAAGCAGGTAAATGCTATATTGACATCTCAAATTGGGCAGCTGGAAGATCAGAGGGTAAATCCCCCAGTTAACATCAAATGCCATAAATGTGGCAAGCTAGGCCGTAAGAGAAAAGAGTTTAAAAGGGAAAAGAATGTTGAATGCTAAAGAAAAGGAACAAAGAGCATGTAAACCTCCAGGGGTATGTCCCAAGTATAAAAAAAGCTTTCATTGGGCCAAACAAATGCCGTTATCAACTTGATAGAAGATGGAACACCTTTATTGTAGGGAAATTATCAGTTGGGCTAGAATCAGGACCCACTAGTAAATGAAAGAAAAAAGTTTAATATTTTCATTTCAAACCATTCTCAGGAAAAACAGTATAATTCAATTCTATGCCATGGGAGCACTCTGCCAGCTTGGTTAGACTTGTGATGCCTTAGTGTAAAACGGGAAATTAAACCAGACCAATGGATGACAATGGAGAATGATTAGATTAAATATGTTTGTGGAATATTAGGTTATCCTGTGTGGTGAAGGGGTAACCGACCTCTTATCAGTGTCTGTGCACTACAACCGGGTCCAGCTAAGGAGACTGGACACGGCCCAAAGGGGAAGTGTCACTCGGAAGCAAGTGAAGCCTTTCGAAGATTATGAGAGGTGAGAACAAAGGGAGGGAAGAGTACAAGTTAAACCACCTCTATGCTAGGAAACTCCATTTGGGAAAAAAAAAGTCTGGAATCCATTAGCAAAAATTTTGCTGGAAAAGCAGCTTGAAAGGAAAAACTCTATCAAGAAATTGTGAAGGGTGGTACTTCTGGACCACAAGTAACAGTCCCATGAGAGGAACTGCCAAGTGTGGAACCATTAATCCACGAGTAACAGTCTTTGCGATCTGTGAAGGGTGGATTTCAGTACCTCGAGTAGCAAAACCTTTGGAATAGCGAGAGAAAACTCCTCTGCTTGCAAAGATTGCAAGGAAAGCGTTATTTTTTGTTGTCTGTTAAGTAAATATCAAAGGAAAGCTTCTACAGTTAAATAAATGATAAATTCTATCAGGAAAGATTTCAGTTTTCTCCATTTAAAAAGACCTTTAAGGGAATTAACATCACAATCATTTTCCCCTAGCAGCGGTTAATAGTTTACATCTGTATTGGGCTTCCTCACTTAAAGAGCCCATACCTGGAATTCTGAACTCTGATAATTACCATCTTTTGCCTAGAAAGAAAAGGGCTAGATAATAGAACCACCCTTACCACATTAAAAGTTATTGTGTTTGTATATAAAAAAGGGGGGAAATGTAGCAGCCCGTATAGCCTATGGCTAGGAGGAGTGAGAGTTATAGGAAATGCCTGTAATGGAACACCTTGGTGAAAAGGGCATGGAGATTTAGTTCTAACAAGCATGAGAGAGCTCGCGAGATGAGAGCAGTGGTGAATTGGCAGTCTCTACACCTGTGGTGTTGAGAAGCACGAGCTCAGCTTTATATTAGGCTGGAGGAGAAGGCAGTCAAGAGGCGTGTGCGTTCTATTACAGATCCACTTACTCTGACTCTGTCTCCTCTCCTGCCTGCAGAACGCCAGCATCTCTGCTGAAGATTACCGCACTATGCTAAAGACTAAGCTATCTGTTCTAAGAAGACCTTTACTCTCTAAGATACTCTGTCTCTCTCTCTCTCCAGCTAAAGTTAGATAGCCCTCAAGCACCTACAAGAAACTGTTCCCGAACAAGGTAGCTTAGTGGTCCGCATCCAGAACCTACCTAAGCTGGGCCCAAGACCTGGCCAGTCCTGGGCCCTGACAATGCTCAAAGGAAATGCTCACTTCAGGATTTTGGATTTCAGATGCTTAACTTGTAAGTAAAGTGCCAGTATTCCAAAATCTAAAAAAATCTGAAATCCCAAAATGTTCTAGTCCAAGCATGTTAGACAAGGGATATTCAAGCTGTAAAAGAATACAAAGACTCAAGACTCACACAAACTCAGGACACATCACAACTTGAACAGTAAATGCTCCTGCTTAAAATTAACCAGAATGTAATCATGAGGAAATAATCAGACAAATCCAAACTGTAAAGGAGTCTACAAAACAGCTGGCTAAAACAGTGACAGAAAAGACAGGTAGGGGACCTACAGACTGAAGAAATTTTAGAATATGGCAAACAAATGCAAACATGATCACTGAACCTTCAACTGAGAAGAAAACAAAACTATAAAGTATATTACCATAGCGGCAGGGGAAACCCAAACTTTAAAAAAGATAGTATTGTATCAAAATTAAATTTTTGAGTTTAACAATTATATTACCCTCATTTAGGAACATGTTCTTATTTTCAAGGAGATATACACTTAAATAATTTTGGTAAAGCATTGTGATGTCTGTAACTTACTTTCAAGTAGATTAGCAAAAAAATAAAAAGTAAATATACAGAAAACACATGCAACAGGTTAAAACTTCCTAAATATAGAAGGGCATATGACTTTTCATTGAATTATTCTTTGCTAGTAAGTTCAAATTTTTTTCAAAATAAAAGGAGAGAAAGGAGAATTTTTAGAACATTTATCGGCCACATCAATGGGCTTTAAAACACATAGGGATATGACAGCAATCCTACACTCAGGTATGCAACACAAGAGAAATGAAAATGTGTCTTACACAAAAATTTATCCACGAATGTTCATATAGTTTTCTTTATAATAGCTCAAATGTGAGAACAACAGATGAACAGATAAAAAAAAAATGAGATGAACAGATAAGCAACACACTGTATTATGCATAAAATGGTGTACTATTCAGCCACACATAAAAGAGATGCAGTACTAATACATGTCATATCACTACAGACCTCCAGAACTCTTTGTTGAGTAACATAAACCAGACATAAAAGGTCACATATATGTACAATATCAGTAAGAGGCAAATCCAGAGACAGAACCTGGATTAATGATTGCCAGGAGCTGTGGGGTTGAGAGGAAATGGGAAATGATTATTAGCATGTAAGTCAGTATCACAAAGGGAATACTGAACATGAAAATGTTCTAAAATTAGACAGTTGGCAATATCTGCACAACTCTATGAATACAGTTAGTCCTCCATGGCCACAGATTCCACATCTGTGGATTCAACCAACCATAGATGGAAAATATTCAGGAGGAATAAAATGGAAAAGTGGTAAAAAAAAAAATAACAACATAAGAAAAAATAATACAAATAAAAAATACAGCATAACATACATAGCACTTACCTTGTATTAGATATTATGAGTAATATAACATTGGTTTAAGATTGTACATAGGTTATATGCAAATACTAGTCATTTTATATAAGGGACTTGAGCATTTAGAAGCAGTCCCCCAGGGATATCAAAGAACAGCTATACACCAAAACAACAAACTGTATACTCTTACGTGGGGAAATTTTATGGTATATAAAATATCTCAGTAAAAATATCGAACACACACATAGCTTTGTTTTCAGTTCAATCTGATTTGCTAGGAGCTCTTTGAAGAAGAAACAGAACCAATGAAAGTTCTTTTTAAAAAAATCTCAGGATTCACCTAATTGGTATTATTTCCTGGGTTGTTCTGATTTATCTATCCATAGTTAAGTTCAAGTTTCAGCCTCAATAATAAATGCTGCTGTGGCCAGATGCGGTGGCTCCCACCAATAATCCTAGCACTCTGGGAGTCTGAGATGGGTGGATTGCTTGAGCTCACAACTTCAAGACCAGCCTGAGCAAGAACAAGACCCAGTCTCTAAAAGAAAACAAAAAATAGCTGGGCGTTGTGGTGGGCACCTGTAGTCCCAGCTACTCGGGAGGCTGAACCAAGAGAATCGCTTGAGCCCAAGAGTTTGAGGTTGCGAAGAGCTATGACGCCAGGGGACTCTACTGAGGGTGACAAAGTGAGACTCCATCTTCAAAAACAAAATAAAATAAATGCTGCTGTATAATTCTATGTACCCCTGTCCCCATCAGGCTTAAGGAAAAAGATGATACATCACTACTTTTCTAACTTTTTAATATAAAATGACAACAACAAAATTGTCTACTGAGGCCTCAATCTGCTGCAATTTTCTAGAGATAAATGATATTTTAAGAAACAAATGTAAACATCCAACTGTCCCTTAAAATACATCACCAGCAAATAAAACAAGCTTAAGTCACAAACATAAGTGACAGGACTCACTTATCTATTTGATCACTAGATCAACAATGCCTCTGTGATTTGATATCACCTTTAGATAAACAAATGCAAACATGCATAGAGTGATTTGTACTAAGTTATTTTATTGCTTATGGGCAACAACATAAATTGTAATTTAAGAATTCTCAAAAATCACATTGGAAATAAATGTCATGAATATTTAATATACATTAAATAAGGGATAAAGTCTTTTTGTATTGAACTGTCAAAGAAAGCACATACCTTATTAGGCTGATTGACAGTGTGAGATTTTTAGGTGGGAAACTTCTTAAAAGAAATGAAAAATGGAATAGAGCTTTCCAGTTTCTTCCTGAAACCTGAGCTCTGTCTTCCCAAACGTGAGATAACAGAGACACCTAGTGGCTGCTAGGATAATTTAGGCAAAATAATTATGACAGGCTACTTTCACCATTTAGAGTTTGAAAGATAGGTAATGTTTCATAGACTCTTTCCCTGAACCCTGATTTTCATATAAAGTAAATGTCCAGTGATGTGTCAACTGAAATCTCCATAATAGTCAGAAGTTGCCCCCACCCAAAATCAAAATCTAATTCTTGCAGTATTTTTTTTTTGTCTGGGGCTAGGTTTGAACCTGACACCACTAGCATATGGGGCCAGTACCCTACTCCTTTGAGCCACAGGTGCCGCCCAAGATCTAATTATTTTGAAATTATTACTATGAGAATACATATTAGATAACTATTATTTCTTGCAATACAAGAACTTGGTGCTTATATTCAGCTAGCAGAAAATCAATCTAAACACAGAGATTAATTACTTTTGCAAAAACTGTGTACTCGGAGGGATGAAGAAGTAGGGACAGGAGTAAACTCATTGCAGAATATCTGAAGTTAGCCAGATAAGATTACATTAAAATGTAAGGTACTTCCCCTTTCATTTTAAAGGAAGGTATTTAGAACAGCAACAGAGAATATATTAGGACAGAACTATCAAAGACTGTCACATATTTATTTACCTGAGAGGAAGCAGCTTTGAAGAAAGTAAGTATTAATTTCCAAGTGAGGAGGTATCCCAGAACATAATAGAAGTCTTCACTCAGTGGCTTAATAGTAACTATCTGTCCAACAGGAACACACCCCAAAACATTTTCCAATAAATCCTCTTGAGTGCTAAGAAGAGACATCAGCACTGCTGGTGGTGACCTAAGAATCAACAATTAAGCACCACAGTTTTCTTTGTAAGTAATCTCTTAACAAACTGACAGCATTTATAAACTTTAGGCATTTTAGAAAAACCATTCTCTATTTTCCAAAAACCATTTTTTTAAATTCCCCTGTACAGATCCTATATTAACTCCTAATTTCACAAAATGGCAATGATCTGAAAGATATGCTATAAAAATATGGACCTGAGGCCATGTGAGATGGCTTGTGCCTATAATCCTAGCACTCTGGGAGGCTGAGGAACAAGGATCACTTGAGCTCAGGAGTTTGAGACCAGCCTGAGCAAAGCAAGACCCCATTTCTGCTAAACATGGACATATTAGCCAGATGTTGTAGCAGGCAGCTACAGTCCTAGCTACTTGGGAGGAGGACAGCTTGAGTCCAAGAGTTTGAAGTTGCTATGAGCTAGGCTAAAACTATGGCACTTTAGCCTGGGACAACAGAGTGAGACTCTTACCACAAAAAAAAAAAAAAAAAAAAAAGGACCTTAGCTCATAGCAGTTGAAGGAAAGGCATTTTAGAAAATATCTATTTCAATTTTGTTTTAAACACAAAAAAAAAAAAAAAAAAAAAGGACCTTAGCTCATAGCAGTTGAAGGAAAGGCATTTTAGAAAATATCTATTTCAATTTTGTTTTAAAGATTAAAAAAAAAAAAAGCCCACAGGCAGAAAAGCCATGTTTAATCCAAAATCCCTCAGCTACTCAGGGGAATTATTAGGGCTTTTAAATCCTACCAACTCCTCAATCATCCTATAAAGGGCAAAGGAAGATGAAGACTTTGATACAAACACAGGAAACAATGACATGCTTTTAAAAAAAATCCTAAGAGTATATGTCTTTTCTGCAAAGCAAATTTAACATTCACATTAATTCGTGAAAATATAAGTTAATTTTCTTCTTTATTGAACTACTATATTCGCTTATACTTTCAGTTAAACTTATGAAATTCTCAAAAAGAGAAATATTTATATCCCCTTGAACTTTCTTCTTTATGATACTCCAGCACAGGTCTCTCCTTTCACCTGTCATCCTTCCTCGCTTGTGGCTTTCTCCCTCCAGACCTGTATGGCCTACTCCAGGCTTCTGTACTAAGTCATCTCTGTTCATTACTGATGGTCACTAGATCTTACAAATACCAGCTCTGGAATCTCTTCACTTTCCACACTGACCTCCACATATTATTTAATTCTAAAGTAACCTCCACTTCTGCTTGCCTCTTTCTGTAATTCATACTTCATGCTATTAAAGAAATCAGCTGGTGGTATCCTATTTCCTACCAAATAATGTCTTTGACTCTAAAAAAATGTCATTACATTACCCCATCTCCTTAACTACCCTTCCAGTTGCAACTTCCACTGTACCCCACCTACTCTATTGGGTAATCTATTCCGTGACTATCCAACAAATGAGCACTCTTCATGAGTCTGTTACAGGTCAGGAAATATTCTGAGTGCTGTGCACATGGTCAGCAGAAAGAGACAAAAATTCCTTGGGGCTACGGTGAAGGGATTTGTGTCCTTAGCCTCTCATCTTGGCTGTTATTGGCATATGTACAAGGGCAACTGACCTGTGGACATTAATTTTATATCCTGAGACATTACTGTATTTTTTGATGACTTCCAAGAGTCTTGTGGTTCTTTGAGGTTCTCTAAGTATAAGATCGTATCATCAGCAAAGAGGGAGAGTTTGACCTCCTCTGCTTCCCAGCTAGATGCCCTTTATTTTCTTGTCTTGCCTAATTTTATTGGCTAGAAATTTCAGCACTATGTTGAATAGTAATGGCAACAGAGAACAACTTTGTCTGGTTCCAGTTCTAAGTGGAAAAACTTTCAGTTTAACTCCATTCAGTAAAATATTAGTTATGGGTTTGTCATAGATAGCTAAGATAGTTTAAGAAATAGATAGTTTAAGATAAGAGTTTAAGCTAAGATACTTTAAGAATAGATAGTTTAAGAAATGTGCCACCTATACCTAAACTCTTCAATAAAGTAATGAAATGTAAAAATTCCTGCCCTCATAGACCCTACTTTCCAGTGAAGGAAGATATTGGAACAAAAACAAAAACTATATTAAATGGCAACTATTCATTCCCTGAGCACATCCTGAATACTCATGCTTCGGTGAGTACCTTTATACATGATCTTTCCTTAACTTATGTTCCCTTTCCTGTCCTGATGAAATGGAACCTAACCAGTTTAAATATCTGTTCCTCAAGACAATGTCTTCCCTTTCTGATGGATATTAATTACACCCCCACACCATGCTATCTATCCTTTTTCTTAGTACCTGTCATACAGGATAGAATCATGTATGTTAGATTATAAGCTCTTTCAGAATGTGTGTACTAAACGTTGTATCCCTCCCTGCATTTAGTTAATACTTTGCACAAAGTGGGTGCTCAGTAGATATTTGAACTGATAGGCACTTTCTATAGCTACCATGTGGCCTCAGACAGTTTTACTAAATAATAACAAACTAAAAATGTGATTTAGGAACAATTAAGACAGAGAAGGGCAAACTCTAGATTTTATTTGTTTTAGAAACATGTTTAAAAGGGTCACTGTGTAGAATGAATATACGTATACCTTAAATTTAGAGCTTCTATGTTGCTCTAGTCTTCTAAAGACATTCTAAGTGAGGTAAATTATGAGAATTTAGTAAAACAAATTATTTTATAAAAGAAAAAAACCCTTACAAGGCTGGTTCTTCTTCTTCATCTCCATAAGACTTTAGATTATCCTGATCATATTGTGGTAACTCAGGCATCAATCTGGAAATTAGAACATTATTTTTAAATACTTTAAATTGCCCACTGTTAAATAATGTTCAAGAGCAGAAAGACCAATTTAATGAGTTTTCTTTCTCTGACATACTGTCTATGGCCAAGACTATCTAAATATAAATTGTGAGTGAAGAATAATAACCTAAAAGATCAAACTGTCCCTGTTCTGAAATAATCAAACATTTCCTATTTTTTAAATTTGCCATTTTTTAATAATTAAAAAAACCAGGATGGGCACAGTGGCTCAAACCTGTAATCCTAGCACTCTAGGAGGCTGAGATGGGTGAATGGCTTGAGCTCAGGAGTTCAGAGACCAGCCTCAGCAAGAGTAAGGTTCCATCTCTACTGTAAATGAAAAACTGAGGCTAGAGGATCACTTGAGCCCAGGAATGTGAGGTTTCTGTTAGTTATGATGCCATGGCACTCTACCACGGGTGACAAAGTGAGACTCTGTCTCAAATAAATAAATAAATGTAAAAACTAAATATACATTCTACTTTTTTAGACCACTAGTAATACTGATTCAATTAGAAGAATTCTTACTTGTATAACATATGATAAACAGCAATTTGCACAGGTCTAGCTCTGAAGAGGAGTAGCGGGGCCAATGTATTCAGCAAAGTCTGGAGATATTCTGGCAAGTTTGTTTTTTGGTCAGCAACCAATCTTGCAGGAAGTTTGTGACTCAAAAGCTGATCTTTGGAAATATATTTTAATGTTTCACACATGGGCTTCAGCATTGCATTCTGAAAGGATGTTTCAGATATGTCTTTGTTTTCTCCTGATGAGAAAAAGGAAAAGAACATCCATATCCCAAAAGAAAGTCATAAGAAAGCTAGTAATATAGCTCAACTGATCTATATGCAATCAAATATAAGAAAGTAAAATAAAAACTAGACAAACATCAGAGCATTCCTAACTAGAAATAAGAATTGAATATGTACATTTCAGTTAATCTTAACTGTTCTAATGACTTTTATCTCATTCTTAAAAAAGACCTCAAATGTTCCATAGAAAGGTTGTATTATGTAATCTATTCATGTTATGTGAATTACTATTTTAATCTGCAATGATCATTGTATACTTGGCCATTTTTCAATTCTTAATTTGTAAAGCAAAAGCATGCATGATGTTTCTGAGAAGCTAAGCTTTCTGTTCTGGTTCTTTTCTTACTATTTAGGAGTATTTGATTTAAACATCCAAAGACTTTGTTTTTAATTTTTCAACATGTCATTTCCAATAAATCTAATTAATATTCTCTTTTTCACTTGCCTGTAACAGTCACCAAAATAGGTAAAAGCAAACTGTGGATGCCTTGAGAAAAAAAGTCTTTCCATTCACTGATTAGATTTACAGGAAGATTGCCAGCAGTATCCTGAGTTGTGGAATCAAAATAAGCACTGAGGTCACAGGCCAAATCACAGCTGACACAGGCAAACAGTTGCACGAGTGGAAGAGAATATAATGCCTGATTCTCACTTGTTGTCTGAAGAAATAATAAAAATGAAATAAACGGATTTCTATCAGAATACTACAAATAAAGGCAATAAAGAGAGGTTCCTCTTTAAAATTTAAAATAAAAAGCAGTTTAAGTATATAATCTCAGGAAAAAATTATTTTACATCAAAATAACTTTTACTCAAAATTAAATACTATGAATTAGAATCATTAATGAGAAATTTATTCTGAAATGTCTTTATTTATTTCTAAACTATGCAAGAAAATATCTTCTACCATTAACCAAGCCAGATACATTAAATATACATTCTTAGTCTTCTCAGTAGCCCAACAAGATGTGTGGTATCATCTTAAAATAAGAAAACTAACATTCAAACAGTTTAAGTTTAAAATCCTAAGTTGTAACAGCTAATTGCTGGGAAAGCAGAGATTCAGACCAATTTCTCCCTGATTGACTTGCTGCCTCAGAAACCACAAGTAGTATATCTCTGTTTTGCTTTGGGTCATAAAAATTAGACTAATTCCCTCTGAATGTGCTAATCTTTAATGGATTACTCCGGCAATACTGACACAGTACATTTTAGAAATAACTAAAAACAAAAAAGACCAGAAACTATAAAAAAAAAAACCTGAGAGTTGTGCTGTAAATATTGTAATATGCCAATGGAGAGAGTAGTTTAATAGCAGTTAGGAGATTTGGTCGCTGAAGGATACTGACAGTTATTAAACTTCTAACATGTCCAAAATCTCCTAAAGTATTTTAAATGTTCACAGAGAAGCAGATTAGAATCACTACTCAAAGAATAAGATTCGTAAATAGTTCTGATACAAAGTCATGTACAAAGACTGAAAAAAGGTGATTACATAGCAAGTTAACGTACCTCCAACCAAGCCAACATGGAGCACATGATGAAGTCCCATTCACTCTCTGCCAAAGGAGCTGAGCAGTATTTCAGAAATAGGCAAAGGAAACGAATTATTTCTATATTTATACCCAAAACCTCTGGACTTGCTCCTGACAGATTACTGTGATAAAGACAAAATCAAAATAACAACAACAAAGTATTAAAGAATTATACTGACGTTCCATTTGAAGCTAGTCTATTTTAAATTTTATATACCTAATAAATTGACTGACTTAAATATCTACCAATATTACTCTGTAATGCTGTAACTATAAAATAATCTGCATCTGCATTGTATATAGGGGGAAAATACAGTAAGGCATATCACCTACCAACTGAAAAGAAAAATATCTTCATGTTCGTTCTTCCAGGATATTATGATTTTTAATATACCATGCAATAACTCTCCATCATCTATGCTTTTTGTCTGCAGACAAGAATTGAAAATAGCAAGATGTCCAAAACCACCTAAAGAAAAATTCAAAATGAAGACTTTTTTAAATTGCATTGCTGCTACAAAAAAAGAAAGTCTATTTTAGGTAGTTGAAAACTTTCTCCAGATGTGCCTAGGTTAAGAACTATAAAAATGGCTTATATAAAAGAGTAAAGAAATGAGCTTTTAAGCTCCACAGCCCATAGGCCCTGTCTCCATACCCAGCACCTAACACAGAATAGGCAATTTGGGAGTCAGTAAGCAAATGATGTTGTGATTTAAACTAACCTATACTGTTTTTTGGTTTGGTCTCTTTTGTACAAGACATATTCAGCACACTCACCTCTCAAATAAAAACTAAAAAAACTCATGGCTATAGAGTACACAAGTCAATACATGATGTATAGTTCCATTTGGCTGGCATTTAAGGTAGAAGGTTGGGGACTGAGGGTCTTAATATGAATCAGAGGATGGATTTTGAGAAATGTTAGGGATTCTAAAGACTGGAGATGCAATACAAGCTAACCACAGATAGTACATGCTTACTGAATGAAAGTGTGAATTGGTAAACAGTATGTTCTACTTTCCATCCATATGCAAACACAGTGTACACCCTTATACATTTCTGCGCAACAGGAATGCACTTCCCTATGTCTAAATGGAACTCTATTTGTTCTTCAACATCCAGCTGAAATATTTGTGAAATGGTCATTGCCATCTCAAAGCAGAGTGAAAACTCCTTTCTTTCTGCAACTAGATACAAAGTACATCTTGTTTGCTACATCAGTTATCACTTGATATATATTTATGTCGGTCTTCTCTGAAATGGGAACTGCCACATAGCAGGTCCTCACTGTTTATTATTAATAAGCAAATGAGTAAAGTGCAGAGTCAGAACAGACTCAAATACAATAAAAGCTATTCCCTCCTTTGCCTTTCTAGAGAGAAAGAAATGAGGCAATGCTTTAAAAAACTACAGATGGAGGCCAGGCACGGTGGCTCACACCTGTAATCCTAGCACTCTGGGAGGCCAAGGTGGGTGGATAGCTTAAGCTCAAGAGTTCGAGACCAGCCTCAGTAAGAGCAAGATCCCTGTCTCTACTAAAAATAGGAAAACAAACAAACTGAGGTGCTTGAGCCCAACAGCCTAAGGTTGCTGTGAGCTGTGATGACACAGCACTCTATTCAGGGTGCCAGAGTGAGAGATGCTCTCTCAAAAAAAAAAAAAAACCCAAAATCTACAGATAAAAAAAAAATGATGCAGGGGTGGCTGCATACAGACTATTTGAGAATCGTTTTGTTTACCTGTGGTGGTGGATACCTAGGTCATTTTGAGTTACATAAAAATCAAAAATTCTAAAATTCATGTGGCTGGAAACAAATGAGCCCCTCCCAGCAAGACCAATCAGTGAAGCAAGTTGAAACTAGCACAAGTGCATCAGAAAGGGCACTGTTGATTGTATTTCTTGAAGTGAAACAATAGACCATAACACAGTATGTCTCAAAACTTTCAGAGTGACCCACATATCACAAAAAGTATGCACAGACCTTTTGCTCACTTTCATTAGTGTTTGAGTATTCACTATGTGGCCTAAGACAACTCATTCTTCCAATGTGCAGCAGAAAAGAAAAAAGGTTGGACGCTTTGGAGAGGTTATGTGTGGGTATAAATCTTCCCCTAAAGCTGCACCATTTCTATATACCCAAATGGTAATAGTCACTGTTTAATGACACTCATCCATATAAACTGGAACAAATCAGCTGTAATTTATCTCTGCTAGATTTGATGTTATATATTAAGAAACACTTCAATCATCTCAAGCAATAATTAAATTAATGAAATATGATCAAGCAACTAACCATCAGTACTGCAAAGGTCTTTTTTAGTCCAGCCCAAAAGAGCAGGTATACACGGGGCGCTAAATTCTTTCTTTTCTTCTTTTGACAAAAATGGACACAGACTTTGAATGGTATGCAAATTGCCTTCGGTTAATGGAAAAAAACTGTTCAAAAGAAAATAAAAAGTATAAATGACATTTATTCTCAATATTCACTTACTTCATAATATTCCTCTTAGACTATTCAAAAAGACTAATAATTCTACCATATAAACAATTATATACAAAATAAAAGAAACTAAGAGATTGACAAATACTGACTTGATAAAACTACGGATAACTTTTTTTGCCGCTTGTTTCTCTTTTCTGCATATTTATAATTTCTTAAATGAGCATATATACCTTCCCCATGTATAATTTTTGAAAATTATACTAGCGATACAGTATTACACTCTAAATGTCAATTGACTCAACTTAAACAGTCCTACTCATGTGCCCTTTCCTTGAACATGTACATATACAGTGGCTTTTATTCCCAGAAAAGGGATTACACTAAACGCACTGTCCTAATATTTGTAGTTATCCATGTTATAGATTGTCTTCTGTCAAAATGAACAAAAACAGAGTCTACAAAACACTCCCTACTATGGATATATCATTGTTTAGCTATTTTCTTATTAGTGGATGCTTAGGTTTTTTCCCCCCAAATTTTTGCTCTTACAAATTATGTCTCAATAAATGTCCTTTGGCAAATATTATTCTGCACATGCACAAAAACCTCTTTAGACTAGATTCCTAGAAGCAGAACTGAAAGGTCAAAGGATCTGAAAGTACTATGTTATAGCAATCTCAAATGGCTTTCCAAAAAAAGTGTAATCAACTTAAACTTTCATCAAAAATGTACAAGTGTGGCTTGGCGCCTGTGGCTCAAGCGGCTAAGGCGCCAGCCACATACACCTAAGGTGGCGGGTTCGAATCCCCAGCCCGGGCCCGCAAAACAACAATGATGGCTACAACCAAAAAATGGCCAGGCGTTGTGGCAGGCGCCTGTGGGCCCCGCTACTTGGGAAGCTGAGGCAGGAGACTCGCTTGAGCCCAGGAGTTGGAGGTTGCTGTGAGCTGTGGTGCCATGGCACTCTGCCCAGGGGGATAGCTTGAGGCTCCATGTCAAAAAAAAAAAAAAAATACAAGTGTGACTATTTTGCTACAAACTTAATGTATCTTTTAATTTCTGTTAATATGGTAAATAAAATGTGCTGCTTTTAATTTGTATTTCTGCCATGACTAATAAGACTAATCCTTTCATTTTCTACATTTCATTAGCGTATTATATTTGAACAATTCATCTATGAATTACTGTTCAAGTCCTTGGGTTACTTATTTATTGAAATAAAGTCTCACTTTGTCACCCTCTATAGAGAGCTATGACATCATAGCTCACAGCAACCTCAAATTCTTGGGCTAAACTGATCCTCTTGCTTCAGCCTCCCGAGCAGCTGGGACTATAGGTGCCCACCACAATGCCTGGCTAGTTTTTTACAGAAGGGGGTCTCACTCTTGCTCAGGCTGGTCTCAAATTCCTAAGCTCAAGTGATCTACCCACCTAGGCCTCCCAAAGTGCTAGAATTACAGACATGAGTCAATGCACCCAGCTATACTTTTTAATTTAGACAGCTTTACTGATTTAAAGGATTTACATATTATAGAAATTTTTGTTAATTTGCAAATATCTCCTTCTATTTTGTCATTTGTTCTGTAATCTTTATTATATTTTTATCGCTGGGAAGTTTTCATTTTTCAAAGCAATTTTTAAAATTTTTTAATTATAGTAAAATACATATAATATAAAATTTATTCATTTATTTATTTAATGTTTTGAGATAGGGTCTTAACTCTGTCACCTGGCTGGAGTGTAACAGCATGCTCATACCTCACTGCAGCCTTGAACTCCTAGCTCAAGTGATCTTCCTGCCTAGGCTCCCAAGTAGCTAGGAACATAGGTATGTGCTACTGCACTAAGCTAATTTTTTTTATATTTGGTAGAGGTGTGATCTTACTACGTTGCCATGGCTGGTCTCAAACTCCTAGCCTCAAGTGAAAATCTGTATTTATATGTTAACCATTTTTATTGTTTGTTTTGTTTTTGAGACAGAGTCTCACTTTGTCACCCTTGGTAGAGAGTGCCATGGCATCATAGCTCACAGGAACCTCAGACTCTTGGGCTCAAGCGATCCTCTTGCCTCAGCCTCCCAAGTAGCTGGGACTACAGGCTCCTTCCATAATGCTCGACTATTTTTAGAGACAGGGTCTCATTCTTGCTCAGGCTGGTCTTGAACCTGTGAGCTTAGGCAATCCACCCTCCTCGGCCTCCCAGAGTGCTAGGATTACAGGCGTGAGCCACGGCGCCCAGCCCATATTAACCATTTTTAAATGTGTACGGTTCACTAGCGTTAAGGTCATAAGCAATGTTGTGCAAAATGTGCAGAAAATTCTCTAGAACAGAGATTCTCAACCCTCCTAATGCTGCGACCCTTTACTACAGTTCCTGATGTCGTGGTGACCCCCAACCATAAAATTATTTTCGTTGCTACTTCATAACTGTAATTTTGCTATTGTTATGAACTATAATGTAAATATCTGATATGCACGATGTATTTTCACTGTACAAAGGGGTTGTGACACACAGGTTGAGAACCACTGCTCTAGAATGTTTTCCATTTTTAAAAACTGAAACTCTAATGTTTTAAAGAAGAGTTCTCCATTTCTCTCTTCACCCAGCCCTGGGCAACCACTATGCTACTTTGTCTTTTTGAATTGGACTACTCTAGGTAGCTCACACAAGAGGAATCACAGAGTATAGGTCTGGGGTTTATTTCCCTTATATCATCAAGGCTCATCCATATTGTAGCATGTGTTAGAGTTTCCTTCCTTTTAAAGGTTAAATAATATTTCATTGACATACCACATTTTCATTCATTCATCCCACTGACGGGCACTTTGATTGCAAGAAGTTTTTATTTTTACAAAATAAAATATATAACTTTTTATGTATAATATAAAGGGGGGGTCTTTTTATTTTTTTCCAAACACTTGTCCAATTCTCCTATCATTGTTTATTATTGTCTCACTTCAATGATTTGAAATGCCACATATATCAAAAATTAAATTCACATTTGTGTGGATTAGTTTCTAAACTCTAGAGCCACTAATATGTCTGGGTTTTTGGACTCTGTAGCCACTTATCTGTCTCCAATTTTATATTGCTTAATCATGATTATTTAATAGTGTATTTTACATTTGGTAAGGTTAATCCCTTTCACTTTTTCCTTTCAACAATTTCCTAGCTATTCTTAAGCATTTGTCCTTCAAATGTACATACTACAACAGTTTGCCAAGTTTTTCAAAAATTGTTGCTGAAACTTTGATTAAGTCTGCATTGACATTATAGATTGATATAACTATTTTTTCCTACCTTTTGTGATCTTTATTAAAGTTTTATAATTATAATTTTAGTTAAACTTATTCCCAGATAGTTAAGTTTTTTTGTTGTCATTGTGGATGGAATCTCTTTCCCTCCCCCCATGCCATTTTTTAAATTATTATGGGTAAATAAGAAAATTATTGATTTTTTTATGTCAAATATATATCCATCTCCTAAGTAATTAGTTCTAACAGTTCCTTAGATTATTCCATATTTTAGAATCAGAAAAAATTATGCTAAATAAAAACTTATATTAAAAAGTTACATACTATATGATTCCACTGATATGATATTCTTAAATGACATAATTATAGAGATGGAGAACAGATTAGTAGTTGCTAGGGATGAGGAGAATGGGAGGAAGGGAGGTGGCTGAGAATACAGTCGGGTAACTAACATCAGAGATCCTTCTAAGGAAATGGTTCTGTACTTGAAGGCAGGGTGGTCATCCATGTGAGCTACAGAGACCACATACATTGCTATCTCTCTCTCTCACACACATGCATATAAACTTAGTCAATGTGGATTGTGCCAATACCATTTTTTGGTTGGAATATTGTGTTGGAGTTACACAAAATGGCATAACTAGGAAAAACCAGATGAAAGGTTTATGTGCTATTTTTTATTCTTCGTATTTTTTACATGATCGTGTGGTTCCACAGTTACTTCAAACTAAAAAGGTTTTTAATTTTTTTAAATAAGATTTTCAAAAATTAATTTAAACTTCTACTATTGCAGGACATACTTTTATCATTTCAGAATTCTCCTTGGTAAGTCAGTAAATCCAAATGCTTTGGTAAGTCTCAGCTAAGCATTAATTTGAGTGCTGAGCTTCACTATCAAGCCCAAGCCCACAATCTACTTGTCATAAGAATGCATTTACCACATTTCTAGACTATATTTCAATAGGATGATTTTTAAAATTTAAGAAAAGAGAAGTAAGTAACTTTCTCTACCACTTTGATATAGCAAAGTGATAGAAGGGTGTTGGGGGGGAGGGAAAAAAGATTTCTAACAGATTTCTGAGGAAAAGAGAACAAGTTTATACAATACCACTGGTTAAAGTAAGTACTATATAAAATTCCACAAAAGGTCATATAGTAAAAATGCTTAGTGAAAATAACTACATCCCTAACCTAAAATAATTTTAGTCTTAATTCTAATTTCTACTAATTACGTTTTTTCATTTCTTAAGCCTTCTCTTGTCTTGATTCATTAGAGATTATGCATCACTCAGGCATTGCCAAGGTGACCAATGACAATACATTACAAATTAAAAATATTTAAAATAAGAACACCTTTCTTTTCTCCTATAATGTGGTTTTACTTCATCAGATGAAATGCTTCGGGAAATAATCAACTTAGCAATAATAAGAGACCAAAGTGCGCCATGTTCCCTAGATCTGAAAAAGGAAAAAAAAAAATTACATTTCATTTAGAGAGTGTTCTTAATAAAATTTTTAAACATTGGCTACCTAGATTCCTTTTATAGAATTAGATAAATCACTTGGGAGGGCATTAATTCACCCAGGACATTGTACCCAAGCAACTGCCATTAATTGACCAAAGAAAGGATTGGGGTTCAGGCTTTCAATACTCCCTCACAATTAGTACTGAGCTCTCACCCCAAGAGGCCCTCCTGTCCCAACAGAGGCGATGACCTGAGCTTGAAGATCAGAGGCTGTAGCTCCAAAGAAACATCTCCCAGAAGACACCCAGGCTAGTTTAAGTTGAAGAACCAAGGAGGTACTGATATTCACAGACAAAAGTTGAGTATTGAGTAAGTGTAGTAGGACTAGAGAGGAAGCATGCTCAAATACTACAGACAAGTGATAAATTATACAGGAAGGAGTTCAACACAGTCACTTCAATAAGCTACACATGTAACTGCTATAAACCCTGAGGATTCTGTTTTCATACCACCTTCCTCATCTAGGGGAGAGTGTATTGTGATTATAAAATTAAGACATACAATAACAACAGGAAAGATAAAGGTTAAATGTGAGAGGATGGTCACAGAGATAAATTCAACAACTTCTATAGGCTTCTAACTTCTTTTATTGTCATCTGCTCCCTGAATGTACTCATGGATTTAATAAAAAAGGCAGAGTCTAAATATGTCACCAGAAGATTAAATAAAGTGTTTAGTATCTATAAAGCATTTATTATTAAGAATAGGGATTATTTTAGATCATCTCTCTGACCAATACATTAACATGAAGTAGGTTTATATCTTAACAGAAGGCAAAGCCATAAACAAGTAAAATATTCAGTTAAAAAATGGTAATTCAAAAGTATTCTTAAAAGAGATCATTACCTGTTAAATAACAGCTGCAAAAGGCCAGAAGTATTACCAAGTACATGTAAGTTATCATATGTAATATTCATTTTTTGAAGCATTTCACAAAATCCAGTTAGAAAAATAGGAGAATTGTCTAATTCTTCACACCACTGCAGTGAATACAGTAGCTCTGCAACTAATAGAATGGATGGCACCAAATTATCAAATGAACTTTGTCAACAAATCCTTCAATTATTTTCACTTCTCTGTCCCACTTTCTAACACTGTTAAGCCCACTCCCATCTCAAAACATCTAGGAACTGATTTTTAAATCTGCTTTAAGAAGTTCAAGGATAATGAAAAAAGAAAACATTTTTCTGATACAAAATACTACTCCTCTTCCAAATCTTACTTGGTTCTTTTTCTGATTAGTTAAAAATGTGACAAGAACCTAAGTTACTAGAGATACTGAAAGAATTTTCCTAGTGCTTGGCACATGACAAGAAGATGCATATATTAAAAACTAAGATTTGCACCGATGCATTGTAACTAAAAAAAATCTCCCCTAATGTGCACAATGTGAGGGTGTTCAGCACACCCCTTGGGTGAAGGGCTCAACCACAACTTTAACTTTACCTTAGAAATGAAAGCAAGGTAATCTAAACATTTGTACCCTCATATTAATCTAAAATTTAAAAAAAAAATCATAAAACACCAAACAAACCCACTAAGACCTGAGATGATCCAGTAATCCCAATGGGTATTTATCCAAAGGAAAGGAAATCAGTATATCTAAAGGATACTTGCACTCTCATTTTTATTATAGCTGTATTCACAATAGCCAAGAAATACGGAATTAACCTAAGTGTTCTTCAGCAGATGAATGAATAAATAAGTGGTATGTATACATATACAACAGAATATTTTTCAGCCATAAAAAAGGATGAAATCTTGTCACTTGCAATACATGGATAAAACTATAGGTCATTAAGTTAAGTGAAATAAGCTGAGTACAGAAAGACACATACCACACATACATGAGAGCTAAAAAAGTGGATCTCATAGCACTTTGGGAGGCCAAGGCGGTGGACTGCCTGAGTTCACTGGTTCGAGATCAGCCTGAGCAAGAGTGAGACCCCTGTCTCTAAAACATAGCTGGGCATCATGGCAGGCACCTGTAGTCCCAGCTACTTAGGAGGCTGAAGCAAGAGAATTACTTGAGCCCAGGAGTTTGAGGTTGCTGTAAGCTATGATGCCACAGCACTCTACTGAGGGCAAAAATGAGACTCTGTCTCAGAAAAGAACAAACAAACAAACAAACAAATCACAAAAGTGGATCTCATGAAGGTAGAGTAGATTAGTGGTTACCAGATTACCAGAGACTGAAAAAGGTAGAGGGGAGGGGGAAATAAAGAGAAGTTGGTTAATGGTTAATAGGTATAAAAGTATAGTTAAGTAGAAGATATAAGACCTAGGGTTCAATGGCATAGTAAGATGACCACAGTTAACAATAATTTATTGTATATTTCAAAATAGCTAGAAGAACTGAAATGTTCCTAACACAAAGGAATGATAAATGTTTCGGGTAATAAATATCCCAATTACCAGGATTTACCATTACAAATTGCATGAATGCATCAAAATGTCACATGTACCTTATAAATATATAAAATTATTTTGTATCAATTTTCAAAAATCAAGAATCCTTGATAAAACACCAAAACCCCACTCATTTTCTTTAGGGTATGTGCCTTCATATCTACTTATACTGATGTCATGCCAGCTTGTGCAAGTGACCTTACACCAAATTATGCTCTACAATGAACAAGATTATAGTAAGATTTCCATATGTTTCCATCCAATTTGCAATTTATCACTTAAGTTTCTCATCACTAAAATAGTTCATAGGGATACGAACAATTCCTGAATTAAATATTTATATTACAGTACAGTCAAAATTAGAATTATTTGTACATTATGCTTTATCTGAATGTGTGTAAATACTTACTTATTTTCTCGAGTTCATTATTCTCTAGGACTATTTCCTTTTTCAGTGCAACTAAGATCATTTTGCTCAATAATGCTGAAGTACATAAATGGCTGGGAAGTGTCTTTATATCTTGTTCCTTAAAATCTGTTTTGAAACACTCATAATTCAAACTTAGTCTTCCCTCTAAAAGAGGTCTATGTAACCACTGTAAGAAGAATACACTAAATTATAAACAAAATCATTACCTATTTTAAATTATTTACTTATATACTATCTATGTCATTCAGACAGGGAACAAAAATGAACTTAACAGAGTATCTATAGTAGTTTACTAGTAAAACCATAAAAACCTGTAAGTTTAGTTTCTACTACAGGAAATCATCAACATGTATAAGACTCCTTAAGGACAGAACTGGGTCTTAACTCATCTCTGTACTGTGGCTACTGCCAGTGTCAAATGGTGCCTTTCAAACAGAAAACATCCCAATATATGAGTATTCGTAGAGACATAAAAGCAAAGCAAGATAATAATTTCATTTACTTTTTTCCCCTCTTGAGAATAAAATAAAAATACTTAAGCTTGCATGAAATTCAAACTTCAGAATGTGATATGCCTTCTCCAATTTGAAAAATACCTGCATAGGAAGAGATTGTCTCATCTTTTCCCATTCACTATTGTCTGGCATTACACTTCCAATGTAAACTCTCAGAAGATGAGAATCCTCACTCTCCAGAAGTGCATTCAGCAAATCATCAACAGCAGATAAGAGGAGTTGAAGACTAAAAATAATGCAAAGAATTTAATTGCAGTAGTTATGTTAAACTAGTTTGAAAACCCTGGTACACAGCATTATAAAAACCCTACAGTAGCTTATCTGAACAAAAAGAACAGATGAAAATAAAAATAGAGGTAAGTGACTCCTTCCATGCCAGACATATGAGTAACACAAAGCGGAGTTTTAATCCAACATCTACGGTTGTTCAAATTAGGAGTTCAACAGGTATGTTATTAAAAATCAGTCCTCTGCCAGTATGGAAAAACAAATGCCATATGTATTCAGTACTAAATAAGAACTATCGATCAACACTTATGCACACTTATGGAAGCAAAACTCAGTGGGAATCAGCTAGGCAGGGAGACGGAGTCAGGTTAATCCGCACCTGATAGGTACAATGCATACGTTCTCAGTGAAGGGCACATTTACTTATAACTTTGACCTGAAGTGTATAAAAACAAATTATGTAATCAAAATGTGCATACCCTTGTAATATTATGAAGCAAAAAAAAAGATCATTATTCAATTAACTGACAGTTAAAATGCTTTTGGAAAAATTGGTTTGGATCTTCTCTTAGAGTCCTGCAAATTTCTCACCTAAAAAGTCATTTTTCATAGGTATTCCCATTCATCATGGAATCTTATTTAAGAAGACTAATCATATATAAGAGAGACACTGCGACTGAACAAATAAAGTTACCTTTTGATATCCAAAGATGAGGACTGAACTTGGTTCTTCAGCCACAGAGCAGACAAATGTAGGAAGGTACTTTCTCTGTATGTACTGCCAGTTTGATGAACCAATAAATTTACACCAGAGAGCCAAGTGTTTTTCAGTTTACAGATAAGAAAATCTAAAATCAAGATGTCAACAGGAATTTGTAATTTCACTGAATAAAATGTAATTAGTACAAAATATCTGAAAGAACTCTGTACGCCTAAGATTTTTAAGATACCATTAAAAAAGAAAACATGACCAACTGCCGAAACAAAGTGATTCTGTCATAAACATGCAGTAACACAAGCCGGGTCATGACATACAAATGCAAAATGGTAAGATGTTAAAAGTGGGATGATTTTCTGCTCTGAATTTATTTATAAAAGAGTTGTTCTTTTTGCAAAGTGACAAAAATTATTACACTTTTTCCAAGTAGAGAAGTTAGTAATAAAGAAAGGATCTGAGGAAGGAGAGCACTCTATCAACAGTATTTTTTATAGTCCTTTCAATAAGTCTGAATTAGCACAAAATGCAAAAATATAGTCCTTAAAGACAAACTCCATTCTATTCTGATATACACCAAGATTAAATTTTTACTATAGTAAAAAAGATGAGATATTATTATCCCCCTTTTGTGAATGAGGAAACTGAGGCATTAAACAATATACCACAGCTACTGACTGGAAGGACTGAGATTCCAACTCATCTATTATAGGCTCTTCCAAATTTCCTTGGTATCAAGTAAGAACACTTAGGACAAAAACACATGTCTAAATACATCTTCAACTTGGATTCTTATACAGTTGAAAGTGTATAATACTTCACTCAAAAAGCTTTAAACTTTCAAACACATTATGATTCAATTAATAAAGCCTGGGCACTTACACTCACTACGAAGGTCAGAGCCGGAGATTCCCAACAAAACATTTGAGCAGTAGGCTATTACCTGGCAAATGTGTTTTTTCTTTGCTCTGAGCACATAACTGAAAGAGAGTTAATAATAAATCTTCAGATGATGGCATTAGCAAGCATCCTTTTGCTGAGCTGAAATAATTATAGGCCACATCACAGATAAAAGACACTGATGAGTCACTATTTTCAGCTTCTGACAATTTCTTTGTTTCGGATAAAGTTTCATGGAGTTTAACAATAATTCTTTCAACATATACTTCTCCAATCAAGTAATCTAGAGAAAAAAGTTTAAACAGACAAAAAATTTTAAACATTAATAATATGTGGGTCTTTCCTTGCATTGTTTTCTAAAAATTGTTTATATGTTGGACAAAAATTTTATCAATAAATTCATTTTCTCACACACAAAAGCCCTTGGGTGAAAAAAAAAAAACTATTTTGAATTAAGTAGAAAATAGCAACTGTCTACAAAATTAGTGAGCAACTCTGCTGCATTCAAAATCCTTCAAATTGTAAAACTAAAATTATTATCTTCTAAAAGTTGTGCTACAAAGATTAATAAAAATGTAGGGAGCTTATAAAATTAAGATATTTGAATGAATAAATCTTGCTATTCTCAACCAACATGCAAGCCAAACACCATGCACTCCCCCCTAAAAGGTACAAAGGATTATTGTCTACTAGAAAACAAAAGCCATATTTTGCCTACCATTTTTAACATGTTGGGATAATACCAAACTTAGAAGAGTCCATCTTTCTGAGAAGTAAGATTCTGAAGATAGTCTGGATTTCAAGTCCTTATTACAAAGACAATCTGCCAAGGTTACCATTTTCTCTCCAAGGACATTACCTTTCAGCCAAGGAGTTACTAAAGCATGTTTATCTGAACTAGAACATGCCTAAAAGCATAAAATTAAAGCAAAGATTAGACGATGAAAAAGTGTATATATATAAATTTTATTTTAGACTCTAAAATATTACTTCTACCTATTACCTCCCTTCATCACTGTAACCCCAATTCTACCCCACTCTTCCTCCTCCTGAAGTTCTAGAAGACTGGTTATCTTTCCAGTTTCCCACTAAGCCTGGCTTATGTGCACTTCCATGCTTTGCTTATGTTATCTTCTCAATCACAAATACCCCTCCCTCTTTTCCTTAGTATTAAAATCCCATCCATTCTTCGAAAATCAGTACAAGTCCCACCTGTTTTAGTGAGTCCCCCCCATCCACTCCAGCCCACAATGATCACTGCTTTCCTCTGAATTTCTAAAGCACTTACTGGATTATATTATTATTTAAATGTTTCGTCTGTGTATGTCTTGTCTTTCCAATGAGACTGTAAGTTCCTTGAGAGCAGAGACTGTCTTAAACTTCTTTGATACCTGCTATCAACACTGCAGATATGTTCAATGAATAATGAATGGAGAAACTTTTGAAGATAGACTTATAAATACTCAGTAGATACTAAATTTTTGTTCATTAATTTTGCTAAAATTAAAGAACAATTGATGTATTATAATCGTAAATTACTTCGATATGAACAATGGGGTTTATTTCCCCCAATCCGTTGAAATAGTTACTGGGGCCAGGTTATCTGACAGCAACTTGTTTTATTTTCATGGGGTGGGGAAGCAAGAAAAAAAATTGTAAATCCTCCCCCAAAAGCATGCTGATCCATGTTCCCAGAGCTTCTTTTGCTTTAAGGGCTGAGAAGAAAGGAATTTGCAACTTGGTTCATTTCAAAGCAATCTGGAAAAAAAAAAAATCCAGGTGCAGATTGGGTAGTGCCTGAAAAAACGATTTATCCTTTTATTTTAAAAATTGTAAGTAACTAGAGCTTATATTTTAACTCAAGCTTTACCACTAAACCAGACCTATGACTTGGACATATCTCTCACCCAACCTGTCCTTATCTAATTTGAAAACTGAAAAAATTAACCTAGAAAACCTCCAAGGTCCTTTCTTGATTCCAAAATCCAGGTCTGTTTTTTATTTGTTTTTAAAGAAGCTGACTTTAGGACTCTGCTCATGAAGTATTAGGTTCCATAACATAAAAACTACTTTAGAATTTAGATGGCTCTAATAATAATCAGTTTTCCTAATATAGTTTACTTAATAAAACCAATCTATTCTATAAATCCAGCTAGAAAAAATAAGCTTCTGAATAAAATGTCTCTCAAGTGAGCAAGATACAAAGTTCAACTTCTCAGTGTAGAGATGTATCCCATGTTACTACGTTTACTCTATGGAGCTTTGTAGATATTGCATTTTTCACAAACTCAAAGTCTGTGGCGACCCTGCACACAGCAAGTCTCTCGGTGTCATTTTTCAACAGCATGTGCTCATTTCCTCTCTGTGTCATACTTTGGTAATTCTCATAGTGTTTCCTACTTTTTTGTTATTATATCTGCTATGGTTATTTGTGATCAGTGATCTCTGATGTTACTACTGTAACTGTTTTGTGATGTCATGAACTGCGCCCATCTGAGATGGCAAATTTAATCAATAAATGTGTGTTCTGACTGCTCCACCGGCCAGGCCTTCCTCTATCTCTATCTCTCTTCTTAGGCTTCCCTATTCCCTGAGGCAGAACAATACTGAAATTAGGCCAATTAATAACCCTAAAATAGCCTCTAAGTGTTCAAGTGAAACAAAGGGCCACTCTTCTCTCATTTTAAATCAAAAGCTAGAAATGATTAAGCTTAGTGAGGAAGGCCTGTTGAAAGCCAAGATAGGGCAAAAGCTAGGCTTTTTACACCAAACAGTCGGGCAACATGTAGATACAAAGAAAAAGTACTTGAATAAAATTAAAAGTAATACTCCAATAGACATGTGAATGGTAAGAAAGTGAAAAAGTCTACTGCTGATAACGGAGAAAGTTTTACTGGTCTAGACAGAGGATCAAACCAACAACATTCCCTTCAACCAAAACCTCATCTACAGCAAGATTCTAACTCTCTTCAATTTCACAAAGGCTGAAGGGAGTGAAGCTGCAAAAAAAGTTTGAAGGTAGGAGAGGCTGGTTCTTGAGGTTGAAGGAAAAAAGCTATCTACAGAACATAAAAGATGAAGCGGCAAGTGGTGATGGAAATCAAGCTATCCAGAAGAACTACCTAAGATAATTTATGAAGTTATGCTACACTAAACAGCACATTTTCAATGTTGACAAAACGTTTTCTATTGGAAGAAGATAACAGCTAGGACTGTCATTGCTAGAAAGCATCAAAGGACTAATGCAGCTGGTTATTTTTAGCCAAGGCCAATGCTCATTTCCCATTCCAAGTCTCAAGGCTCTCAAGAATTACACTAAATCTACTTTCCAAAGGCTCTTCAAATGGACTGAGAAAGCCTAAAATGACAGCATGTCATGTTTATGGCATGTTTACTGAGTATTTTAAGTCCACTGTTGAGAAATACTACTCAGAAGGAAGGTTCCTTTCAAAATACTATTTATTGACAATGCACCTGGTCACTCAACACCTCTAATGGAGACATACAAGGAAATTAAAGTTTCAAGCCTATTAACACAACCTCTATTCTCTAGCCCATGTATTAAGGAGCCATTTCATCAACTTTTCAAGTTCCATTATTTAAGTTATAGTCGCCATAGACTGTGATTCTCTCGCTGGATCTGGGCAAAGTTAACTATACCTAAAAAGGATTCACCATTCCTAGATGCCATTAAGAATATTCATGACTCAGGCGGTGCCTATGGCTCAAGGAGTAGGGCGCTGGCCCCATATGCCAGGGGTGGTGGGTTCAAGCCTGGCCCTGGCCAAAACTGCAAAAAAAAAGAATACTCATGAGTCATGGGAGGAGGTCAAAATAGTAACATTAACAGAAGTCTGAAATGAATTGATTCTAATCCTGAAGGATGACTTGGAGGAGTTCCAGACTTCACTAGAGGAAGTAACTGCAAATGTGTTGGAGCCAGAAGATGTGACTGAATTGTTGCAATATCATAATAAAACTTGAATAGATGAGGAGCTACTTTTTAAGGATGAGTAAAGAAAGTAGTTTCTTGAGATAAAGTCTACTCTTGAGGAAGATGCTGTGAACATTATTGAAATGACAATAAAGGACATAGAACAAAATTATGTAAGTTTGGTAAAAAGCAGTGATAGGGTTACAAGTATCCCATCATTCTGAGAAATCTTTTGTGAAAGGAAGAGTCAATTGTTGTGGTAAACTTCATTGTTGTCTTATTTTAAGAAATTGCCGGCTCGGCGCCTGTGGCTCAAGTGGCTAAGGCGCCAGCCACATACACCTAAGGTGGCAGGTTCGAATCCAGGCTGCCAAACAACAATGACGGCTGCAACCAAAAAAAATAGCCAGGCATTGTGGCAGGCGCCTGTGGTCCCAGCTACTTGGGAGGCTGAGGCAGGAGACTTGCTTGAGCCCAGGAGTTGGAGGTTGCTGTGAGCTGTGGTGCCACGGCACTCTGCCCAGGGGGATAGCTTGAGGCTCTGTCTCAAAAAAAAAAGAAACTGCCAAATTGCCACTGCAATCAATCAGCAGGCACCATCAAGACAAGACCCTTCACCAGCAAAATATGACAACTCACTGAAGGCTCAGATGATTCTTAGTACTTTTCAACAATGAAGAATTTTTTATGTATTCCTTTCTGTCTAATAAATCCTCTCTTACCACTGGGGAAGAAAAAGACATTCTTATGAAGGTATTTACACTGTCCTTTTAGATATACTGCCATTGCATTTTTAACAGACTAAAATACAGTGTAAACACAGCTTTTATATGAACTGGGAAGCTAAAAAATTCCTGTGTTTCTCTTTATTGTGACACTTGCATTATTGTGGTGGTCTAAAACCAAAGCTACATGTCTCTAAGGTATGCTTGTACTCTAACACATTTAATCAAAGAATTGGTCTAGCTGCAGGGAGATAGGGAGACTAGTGAGTCTTTCAGGCACAGGAGGCAAATACTGGATGGGAACTTCCAATATTGCTCAGATACAGGATGTTCTTCCAACCAGATGAGTACCTGAACTACACAGTATGTACATTCCTAAACTGGAAATGGATCTATCAGTCTGCTCTTGTCAAATTATTTACTCCCTATGCTCTGATTCTAAGCTTAGCAAGCAGCTTTTGATAATCTGGCTTTTCATGTACCTTGCCTACAGAGAAAGGAGGCACTGGATAAAGTAATGCTGATAAATTATATTTCTCATTAAAATATAATAAATTAACAACTATTTTGTAAAAATAAACTATTGGGAAAATAAGTAGGTATTGTCTAATGGATATAGGGTTTCAGTTTTGCAAGATGAAAAAGTTCTAGAGACTGTACAATAATATATTTAACATTACTGTACATTTAGAAATGATGAAAGAAAGATATATTTTGTGCTATGTATTTTTTAGTATAATCTAAAAAATAGAAAAGAAGTAATGTGTAATTTCAAAAAAGTGACCTATCTAAAATAATAAAAAAATACCTAAAAAACATGCGATGAATTTTAGGTAGTTAGTGGTAAGAAGTATTACATATGTCATTTAGGGGCGTCCAACCTTTTTTATTCTCTGTTGCAAAGTACAAGAGTCTGAGTTGCCTTAAGCCACACATTAAATATGCAAACAATAACAAAAGTTGCTGAGCAAAATAAAACAGGCCCATCCACACTTTTCGGGATATCCAATACTGCAGATAAGCCAAACAGGCCTCAAATAATGTGCATGCAGTCTGTAGGCTATAGACTGGACACCCCTAAATGACATCCTCATTAGGAAAAAACATTTAAGTCATTTTAAAAATTTTATAATTATTTGTTTTTTATTTCTTTTTATTATTCTTATCACCAACTTTCTTATTTAGGCAAATGGAAATTAGTCAAATGTGAATACACAAAGGCTAGAAGACTTAAATTTGCCAACACAGTATTCCAGAGTAAACTAAATATCCTAATTTCTTGTGTCTAAAGCTTGAACAATGCAATCCATTTTTACAAAAAGAAAAGTAACTACTATAAGAGCAAAACACCTGTAGTCTTAATTAAAAGATACCAAAAGTTTTAGATCTGCCCTTGTTATCCGCTAGGGAGGAAATACTAATTTTCTAGAACTTCTTCATTCTTCCCTAATACTCCTAACCAAAAAAAAATTCTATAGAAAAGTAATGATCAAATTTCTTCCCATAAAATTTATAATAATAAGAGAACTCTCTAAGATTTTATAACTGACTACTTTAATCATATTAAATGTGCGAATATGACTATAGTTTTTTGTATACCCATAAATACAAAAAAGAATAAAAAACCCTAAAATACCTTTTTAATAATCTGAAGAAGCGAATTCCAATTCAGGTCCACCTGAAAGAAGAAGAAGAGAAATAATCTGCTAGAATAAACAGTGAAGCATTTTTGGATTTTTTTTTTTTTTTTTTTTTAGATATACAGTCTTCTTATGTTACCCAGGCTGATCTCAAACTTCTGGACCCAAGTGATCCATGTGCCCCAGCCTCCTGAGTAGTTGAGACTATATGTACATACCACACAGTCCCACTAAAACTTTTAAAAAGGAAATGAAGCCCCCACGTAATCAATATAAAAGTAAAAACTTTTTTAGCTAGTCCAACTTTAGAAAAACATGAACTGAATGAACTCAGCCTTTTATTACCAAAGCTTTGGTCAACTTGGTACTCCTGTCCCTCTACCTAGCAGCTACGGATACTTCTCAAGTCACAACAAGAATACACTGCTTGTTGTTTTGTTTTTTTGTTGTTTTTTTTTTT